TTTAAAAGTTATTAGAACACTTAAAAAATGGTTAGAGTAAACTCGAGTCCATATTTTTAACTAATTTTTGTGTAATAAATAAATTAAGTAAAACCAATTATTAAAAAATAACTTTAATTTTAAATCTATAGTTATTTTTTCTGAACATTTTCCAGGCAGTGCTTTGGATTTTTATATTTATAAACCAGTAAACTCTGAAATGTTTTTCTATTGAGGAAAAACATTACTTTATTTTAATAAAATAAGAATGTTTTGTATAGTAACAACGCAACATTTCATAAATAAAAAAATGTAGAGCCTTAAATATTATTCTAATGACTAAATTAATGAGCGTAATAGAAGTAATGAGTTTAAAACAAAAATAATTTGTACGTTTAATATATTTCCATCATTGACAATGTATTTTGAATTTGTTGTCAGAAAGTTTTTTGAGCTAGTAAATACAGATTTAAATCTTGTCACTGTTTTACTTATGACGTGAAATCTGTTAAGTTTTCTTTTTAATGAAATAATTATTGTTATCGCAAAATAACTTACTTAAAACTATTTCTTTAACACCAAAAAATATCTTCAAGACAATTTCCTCTAATATTCATTAACAGTTTTATAATTATTAATATTTACGATGCAAATACACAAAAGTTATTTATATTTTTCCATTAATTTATAAGTTTTCACTTACAATCTTGAAGAAGTTCACAAAGTATTTGAATAATATAAAATGAATTTCAAAATAAAATGAAATCAGAAAAAATTTAGTATTCAGCAACTTAATGGAATAAGTTAGACAGTATACTTGGTGTTTTTTGAGGCGATTTATAAGTGGAATAATTTTTATGAATATGTCATTCATTAATACCTACAGAACAATAGATAAGCAATACAAAAGATAGTATTCGGATTACATATTATCAATTTAACTCGATCTATCCGACCAACGTAAAAATGTATACTTAAAAATCAATAAATTACACAATGCAAAATGGTATTCGTTATAAGTAACTGATTGCAAATAGTATGGGAGATCCAATTAAAATATTTTAATTAAAAATGTAATGAAAATAGGATGCATTTCGATTAAAAAGCACCTAATTCAAAAATGTTAGTCTTTTCACTATGCTAAATGTTAATACGAGGTAAAAAAACATAATCCTTTTTAAACTCGATTACCTTTTAAGACTTACTAAGTGACAATTAATTTTATCGTATATACACTTTTAATTCGTCGTGACATCATAAAGTTAGTTTTTCACAAATTATCCTCTTTTGCGAAAGCACTAAATATTAAATTAAATATATACTAAATTTTAAGCATCATTTAAACAACCGTTTTATCGTTGCCAAGCTATTATTTTTAAATAAAGATGACAACAGTCATTCGTATCAAAGTCATTTTGAATGTGTCATTTTATTGTATGAGTACTTGTACAATTAATCTGAAAATGATAGTAAAAAAAGTTTTCTTATTGTACAACTTTTACGTTTTTCTTTGTATAAGAATAATTGATATTTTTTACTGCAATAAATCTATTTTTTAATTATTTAACTAAAAATGACATAATATAAGTCAGTCATACAAGCTGGGTTTAAACATTTTAGTTACAACAAAAAACTATTATGTTTCTTTCCAAAATCTCTACGCACTTGTATAACTTTCAAGAATATTTTATTTTTAACTTTTTCAGTATTGGAATACAATGTTTTACATCTTTTGAAATCTTCAAGCTTACCAGTAAATGTAAAATATGTTCTTGTTGTTTCTATTGTCTTTGTATTTTCTTAAAATGAAAGCACAACGAGTTACAACTGTACCAGCGCAACACTTTGCTATTATAGTTGCAGTTGTTGTTTGCACTTTTTCATTACAATTTCTATTATAAAAAAACAATATTAAATACTATTTGTATAAAACTAATACATGCAAATAATTTACATCAATAATTATTTTACATTGCTCAAAAACTATAATATTTGTGTAATTTTAACATTAAATGTCAACATTTGTTGATTAATAATATTTTAAATAATGTTTCGCCTATATTATTATGTAAACATATTTATGTTTTATGATTGATTCTCTCTGCACTATACACGTACACCTGTATTTATAAATTTGTATACATATTATGTACACATTAGTTATGCGTTATTTTTCATATATGCCAATTTCCTTTTCAATTCATTAAAATATTTAACATTATATTCATCTGTAAATAGATATTTGTTCGTTAAATATTTTCAATATGTATCATTTGTTAAAAGACCATAATACAAAGTAATTTAATATGCATTGTGCCACGTCATTACGCTGACCGGAAAAATGAATAAAATATGAAAGACTAGCGTGACCATATACATGAAAAAAAAAAAAAAAGAGTTCAAATAAACTTTTGATGTTCAATATATCAAACGAGGATGAAACATAAAGTAGATTTTTTTTCAGTTACACTAAAATCAAATTATTTCGTAGTCATTCATGGACATTAATCTAAAAGCAATTAAAATACATTTTTGTTACCATTAATTTTCGGTCAACTATTCCCATGTACAATGTTCCTCTTATTTATTTTCCTGACACTTGGCGAACATCTCCATATTTCTTTTTATAATTTTAATAGCCGTTGAAAGTATTTTCTTGACGTGGTGTTAAATGAATAAATAACACTGTTCTTCAGAAAATTTTTATCAGAGACAAAAATATAATATTCTAAAACAATTATTCGCGCTTGTTTCAAATCAGAAATTAGACTTCTTTAATTTTTTTTTTTGCATTTAAATCGAAATAAATTATTAAAAAAAAAACCATAGTAACCACTACCATGTAATTCTTAATGTTTGAAAGGATGCCGCAATTGAAATATTCAAATCTTAATTATTTTTTTAATATTCAAAATTACCAAAAATACATAAATATATATATATATATATATATATATACAAAAATACAAACCTAACAACACATCAGACGACGAAATACTAACAAAAATCCTTCTATATTAATAAAACTTTACTAGGTCAATTGGAAAATTATTATATTAATTTAAATTTAATCATATTTATGTACGACTGTTAGTATTTGCAAAATCACGATTTTCTTCAAAGGCTATGCCATTGTTATTAAGTTATATAGGAATAATTAATAAATATATTTTAGTTATAACAATAATGCTCAATAATAATTCTAACATAACATAACAAGCAGAATGTATTATAATGAAAATAATTCCAATAATAATTTAAGTTTTTGAATAATTAAAAAGTTAAGATCTAAACTGCAGCATCTTTTTAAACATCAAGAGTTATATAGAATAGACTACTATGATGTCTATTTAAATTATTTATTAGGATATTAATACAAATCCTCATAAATATACTGCTAATATAATTATACAGCGTGTTCAGTAAGTAAGGAAACAGGTCAATTATTACAACCAATGAGAACATTTGAAACCCATTGTCTTACTTACTGAATATTCTCTATATAAGTTCCTGGTACCATATTAATATAAAAATACCTTTTTTTAAATTCTCATAAAATTTATTATCCAATTATGTCGATTATTATTATAAACTTTTGTAAAAATCAACTTTAAAAACCAAACAAATAGGTTAAACGTTATATTTGGAACGAAATTCACACAAATTATTATTAACGTATTAATTATCATTAATAATTAAAAAAAAAAATTATTAATTAATTATCATGGGTGAAATAAGTTGTTTTTTACTAATTATTAAATAAATATACAATACCACTTTTTTCTTTTTGAGTATTTTGGATACAAAATTACTTTTTTTATGTCTGTTTTCCGGAAACCTACAAAATCCAAATTTTTTATTTAATTTACTTTTAATCCGTCTTTGGTGCTGGTCGATGGAAACATAGAAAAAAAATCTAAATATGTGAATATGTTTTTTATGAAATTATATTATGAACAAAATTAAATATGATAATTTTTTATAACATTCAATTGTTATCGACCGATAATTTGCAAAAATTTGTTTTTGTATCAATAATTAATATCCTTTTTCCTCGCGTTAATCCTAACTACTTTGAGTTGGCCACCCTTACCATAAATTTCCACTTGACACGATCTCCCACATCATCTACATCCACATCAGCCGTCCTCATATCGCATTCAATAACATCCCTCCATCTCATTTTTAGTCTTACTCTGCCTATTCTTCCTTCAACATTTATTTCTATAACTGTTCTTACAGCTTCCGATTCCTCTCTCCTCATAACATGACCAAACCATCAAAGTCTATTTTCTCTCATTTTATCTATGATTGACACCTATACTCCCTTTTATATGTTAATTCCTTATCCTATCTTCTCTGGTCACTACACTCATCATCTAAGCATTCTCATTCTCTGTTCTACTTTCTTTTCAACCACCCAACACTCTGAACCATACTTCATAACTGGTCTCACTACAGTCTTATAGAAATTACCTTTCAGGCTCATTGGAATTCTTTAATCACCAGACGCTGCTCTGCACTTCAACGACCCGCACTTAATCTTGTGTCTTACATTCTTGTCATTAACACCGTTCTTTTGCATAACTGATTCTAAGTACTTAAACCTTTCCACCTCTCCTATCACGGCCTTTCTTTGTCAAATTCGCACTCTATTTACTATGTCATACTCCTACTTATCCTTAAACCCTTTTATTTAAGAGCTGATTTCCACACTTCTAGCCTTTGATTAATTTTCTCCTATTAACACTATACCGTTAGCAAACAACATGCTCCACGGCAACTCTTCTTGTATTTCTTATCAATTATTGTATAATATCCTTATTTTTTGTTTACTGACATGTGGCCAATAGAACTTTATGTAGAAGCACTAACATAGTGCTGCAACTGCAAAAAATATTATCTTAATTACTTTTTTTTATAACAGAATATTAGAATAGACGACATTTAAATGTGAATTCATTAAAAACAATAAATTTTCAAATCTGAATTAAATGTAATAGTATAAAATATTTTTGCAGGGTAATGGCATTTGTTCAAAAGGCAGTAGCAAGGCTTTACGAACCTGATAAATTGGAAACTCTTTTAAGAGATTTGGGTAAAAAACATTATCATTATGGAGCAAAACAAAAATACGTTGACGTAAGTACACCTTTCTAAATGTTCAAAAAATAAAACATTGTTTTTTGTCATATATTTAAACAATCTTATCATCTCATGTCAAAGTTTGCGAAATGGTTATTTCATTTAAAAAAATATACTTAATAATTTTTCCAACAAATTGAAATTAAAAACAAGAAACCTAAGAAATATCTAAAAATACAACATTATTGAAATTTATAGAAATTCTTAAATATCAAAAAAACCTTAAATTAATTCTATTTCTAAAATCTATTGAGAAGTAAAATTATTGGAAAAATACTTATTAATACTTTTTGTATGTAATATTGAAAGGTTCAAAGCAAGAACCAGGTATCTCCGTTTTTCAAAATTGTTTAATAAAATAAATAATTACATTTCTAATGGTATGAAAATATTGTAAAATTAGATTTAAATTTTCCATACGATAAGCTATATAAATATACAGATTTACTTTTTTATATATGTACATTTTTTAACAAAAACAAAGAAAAAACTGAAAATACTTGGTTATTGCACCGAAATCAAAAAACCATATATTTTCTTTTGTATGGTATTAGTCCATCTAAAGGAAGTATTAATCCATTGTTACACCAAACTGTGAACACAAAGTGTTTCCTTTATCAGATATTGTACAAAAATGAATTTCGTTCTGGTCTAATATAATACGGCATTCTGATTATGCAATATCAGTACGTGTGTGTTGATAATCCGAACTTGAGTATTCAACCCTACAGTATTATTTAAAAATATCCATATTATAATATAATATGGATATTTATTTGGATATAAATATTATTTACTAGTTTGAAGATAATATTACTAAGTAATTAATCATTATTAAGAAATAATAACCTCTCTGACAGAGGCTTAGTCATGGAAGGTTTAATGGTTCGACCTCCCACCCTTTCTTAACCATAGTTTGGTAATATAAAAATTCATGTAGTTTAATAAATTACATGAAATCTAGTAAGATTAATAACCCTACTAGATTTTAAACATCCTCTCTCTACGAATATCAAGCTATATTAATGCTTACTGAATACTTAATTTTTGCATTTGATAAATTTCAAATATTGTCCTAAAAGTCTTCTTAGTGTTCTGATACAATTTTTGTTGGAATATATCTTAAATAATTGTTTTAAAACGCTACTTGTAGTTCGAATAAAAACTTTTATCTAAAGAATCTGAAAACACGATGATAAATGAATGGTATACATAATGGTCTCGCATTTTGTTCAAATCCTTGGGACTTAACTTCAATACTCAATGTCTGACAACATTTCGTATCATTTAACTTTTTATATGAGGCATATATTATATATTTTAATGTCTTCCGTTGTTTTGACTACTTATACATAGTTACACTATTTATAAAAATGTATGTGAATTAGTTGCTTTATTTATTTTTTACTCTTTGATATAATATCTCTCTAGAATTTAGATACCGATTTCTTAATCATGTTTAAAAATGTAAGCATTAAATAATTTAATACAATTAAACGTTTTAATTGAATTTCATTAATTATAAACAATTTAATTTTATATTAAACTAAATTTGTTATTTTCAGCTAATTATACTTTTCTTTAAAATGATTAGTAAAGACTAATAGTCTTTACTAATAAACTAAATGACTTTGTTTTATAATAAAATTAAAAAAATGTAAAGTATGGATTATTTTTTATTACAACTATTGAAACATTTAACTAAACAACTAAAAAACTATTTTTTTTTTTATTTACACGACCCAATAAAAATACCAATTATAATATGCCATGCGGGCAATCAGATTACATTGTTTCTTTTACCAACTGAACATATAGTTTGTGTATATTAGACTCAATAAATTTGTCTATATGATCAAAGATTTTATATGAATGAAACATATAAAACGTTAAATACTATGATTGAATTCAAAGTCCCAAATTCATTTTTTTTAAGTTTATATTGACACGTGTACTTTAAATTAAATTAAAAAATTATCTTTTATTTTCCACCATACAGACAAAAACGTACGTTTTTATCATGATTTTTTTAATTTTCGAAAGCATAAATATGTTTAAACTTTCGATGAAGAGCGTTCACTTGTTTTGCTTACTGAATACATAACAAAAGACCAACAACACATTCATTGCTGAGGTTCTTAAACTTCCGGAAAACTTGAACCTTTTTAACACTTTAGAGTTAAATGACACAGTATTGCTTCCTTTTAAGATATTTACAAGGAATTTTACTATTGTACTACTATACTTTACATACTGTGTTTATTATATTCTATTATACTACAGGGTCTGCACATTTTACACACAATAGATTCGACTTAGCGTAAAATTACAAATAATTTACTCTTCCTAAATGTTGTTTAATAATTATTTCCTTCTATTTCATACTTCAAACATGTGAAACACGTTTTTGTAGATTATTGAAACCAATATACTTTATTAAATTTCAGAGTATAATATTATAAAATATAATTTGATAAACAAATGTGTATATTACTTTTTTTAATGAAAGAGCATCATGATGGCAGCAATTTGATAATAAAATGAGACAATTTTATGATATCATTTTTATCATGACTTTAGCTATCCTTGGTTTACCGTAAACGGATTGTGACCATTTAAAACGCAGTGAAAATTCTCCTCTGGAATAATTAAATTATAGTTATAAAATTAAAACTAATATAATTAACCTGTTTTATAATTAATCAACTATAGTGTACTAGAAATAACTGAAAATTGTTAGGTAATGCTATGATATTCTTTTTTAGTTAGTTGGGCCACAATTTATAATAGCAATTCAACCGTCACTGACAGACAGGTGGACTGAAGAAACTCAATCGGCATGGACTTCCCTGTTTCTTAACATGGCATACATCATGAAAGGTTCAATGGCCGCTGAAGAAAGGTTCAAGATAAAAAAACCTATAGGTTAGAAACCATGTGATGTGCTTTATTACACAGTATCCTAAAGTATATATATTGACTGTTTTTGTTGTGTTTAATAAATTTGTTTTTTTATACCGAAAATATTGTAGAAAACGTAATATTGTTGATAATCTTAGAATATTATTATAATATCCGACGTTTAAGTTATTTTAATATTAAATTATAGGAACTCATTTTGTTAGAAATACATTACTTAGTCTAAGCGATCTTTATTATTTTGCAAAATGTTAGTTGACAGCTTAATCATAATAAGTTACGACTTACATAGAAGTGTTTGCATTTGATGTAGATAATGTGAATTCTCTTTAAAATATGAGTTTTGAATTTTAAGAGAATAAATATGATAAACGCAAAAAATATTGTGTACATTACAGTATAAGAATTATTATTAAACTTGTTAAAATGTATCATGAACTTTATGTAATTAAAACAAATAATTAAATATATGTATAAAAACCGTTATTTTGGAAAAATATACAGGTAAACACATATGAAAATAAACAGGAAGGTACATAACAACAATGTTATTTTAAAATTTGTTAAATAAGTTAATTCCATGGTCGCATTTTCAATTATAGAATGAGGCTTTTTTGTATAATATAAAATCACATACATTATAAAATGATATATACTTATGTATTATGGTAGTTGTTACTGTGCATTTCTTTGAACGGATATAAATTTTACATGACATATGTAATTCTTATATTATTGATGGAAAATAAAACAAAATGGAAAAAAAAAATAACTTTGAGAATTTTTTTATTGAAGTTTATAAACCCTTTTTAAAAATTACACAATAAGTGTAATTTCCTTTTTCATATCTTTTATATTTTTAATCATTACTTCAAAACATTTAAATTTCTTTCCGTATAAATAGATAAATATGCCAATTACAGTTTTTAATGTTCAAATATTATACTTTTTACTTCTTGACCGTTTAATACTGCGATCACTAAATTTGATACAGCTAACTATTTATTAGAAATAAATCCTATAAAAATTTGATTTACTTTAAAACAATATGCATGATGTATAAAAAGTCCTTGTTTTAGTTATAATAATTCCTTATTAATTTTAAAAATTAGAATGTTTTGTTAGAGTGATTTAGAAAATTTTACATGAATTACAGAACAAATAAAATACTAAATTAGTGTGTATTACAATGTATTATAATATGTGGAATTTTAAGTAGACAAACAAAAATATCCATTATTATTTTAACTTATCATCACATAGAAATAAACATAAAAGACGAACCAATCAAAAATTGGATTTTCAATACAATCCACAAAGCCCAAGAAAAATAAATCTAACTTAATATCCCGTGAGATTTGAGTAGTAGTTAGGTAATTCGACTTAAATAATATTTTTTTACAAACACTAAAGCAGATATAAGAAAACACATGTTTTCTGGGTAAATAAATATCTAAAATATTTTAAAATATTTTGATTATTCAATGATAATCACAAAAATCAGTTAAATTTATTACATTGCAATAATTAAATTATTTTTTACTTCTTTTAATTAAGTTTAAAACTTACAGCATATTGAACCAGTTTTATGTCATTACTGCTTTGTAAGAGTAAACGAGTTAAAAGCAAATTTTACATTTTTACGCAATTTTAACGCATTAAATGTAAACTTAATTTAGACAATTATTGGCTAGATGTTATCGATGATTTTTGTTGTTTATTTTTTACAATCATCTCAGGACTTTTTTTTATTTTTAAGACGAGTTGGCGAATTTATTGGTTTTAACAAGATGTATTGTTATATTTATTTTTATTTTATGACATTTTTATTCCCAGTGGGTCGATTGCAGTCATTTTTAAAATAATAAATTACATCTAGTAGAGAACTTAAAATAGGCACTTTTAGAAGACACGCCTATTTCAATGGACCTTTGTGTGTAATATAGTGAAAATCTTTAAATGATACTACATGATTTTTTTCGGAGTGTACAATAAATAAGTTTAAGGAAAAGTAAAAATTGGCTCATTTTTTTTTTAATTCAAAATTGGTTTTTTTTATTTTTTTTAATACTCACTTTTGTACAAAAATTTGATTCAAATTCAATTAAATATTTAATTTTTTTAAATTTAAGACATTTTTTTTTAATATTCTCTTTATTTGTATATTTACAATCTATGCAATGCGTATGTACAATTAGTAAATTTGTTAAGGTAATTGATTGAACAAATAGAGTGAATGGGTAGCCCACATTAGAACCATCTCACAATAAAATTAAAGATGTAAATACATCGTTAGTTAAAATTATATAAATTTAAAGTAATTTTTTTTTATTTTTTCCTTTAGTTGTTTGGTAATAGGTTTCTACAACAGGTGCGTTGGATTGTTCGAAAGTGTTTTGGTGCTGAATTGGGCTATTAAATTATTAGGATGATTTAATATTTTACAATGGTACCTGAATAAGAACAGCGTTGCCGATTCACTTACAGTTTTAATATTTAGTTCACTGTGAAGTTGATTATTAGTTACGAACCAAGGAGCCCTAGTAATAATGCGAAGATATATTGATTGAAACTTGTATGATTTTTGTACTTGATGGTTTTGCCGATCCTCAAAATAGAATACCGTAAGACCATATTGGTTGTAGAAAACTTATATAATATGAACTGGTTTGATATGTGAAGATTAGAGAAAAGTAAGGGTCTTAATATGTCCAGCCGATTATTCAACTTTTTCCGTTTAGGAGCGAGGCTTCACGTCTGTCTGCGGTCGACAATTAATCGAAGGTATTTTCTTTTTTTTGATGAGGAATTACTATGCCATTATATGTGATTTCAGAACAGTTTAGAGGTCGTAAGGAGAAGGTTATATGATTAGATTTAGTCTCGTTAACTTTAATCTCCCAGTTTTTAAACCATTTTGAAAGAGTATCTAATTGGCATTGTGTATATTTGCTTTCCAGTTCTACATCTAAGAATATTCCTGAACAGTATTTTTTTTTCGAGTGACTCAGTGATATAATTAACAAAACTATGAAGTTGATAGGAAGTGCAGTGTCTTGGCCGAAAACCAAACTGAAATTTGGGCAATGGGTTGAATTCATTGATTAGTGACAATATTCTTTTGAGGATTAGTTTTTCAAGGATTTTTCCGAGAGCTGGTAGCAAGCTTATAAGTCTGTATGAAGCAACGTTATCAGGAGATTTACCTAGCTTTAGAATAGTAACTATAACTGCAGATTTTCGTGTTATGGGAAAATAAGAGAGGCGGACAGCAGAATTGTAGATATAAGAAAGTAAAATTATTGTTTTTAAAGGGAAGTTTTTTAGAAGTTTGCTGTTTATTTTGTCATGACCCGAGAACTTATTATTTTTAAGAGAATTTATTATACTGAGAGTTTATTTAAGTGAGGTATGTTTGGCTGGGAGGTCCATTGAAAGTGGAGTTTGGATAAATTGTGCTAAGTTTACTATGTGGTTAAGTTCTGGTGCACTTTCATGAGGTTTAAAAACGCTGGACAGATATAAGGCTAGTTGGTCGGCTTTTTTCTGGTTTATGGTGGCATAGGTATTATTCGGAAGTTTAAGGGAAGGTACAGAAATTTGTGTCTTAAAAGAGATTTCGTTATCCTCCATAATGAGCCATCTGTTGTAGAGAGAGATTGCAGATTCGGGTTATTTTGATCAATTTTTTCTTTTTTAAATAAAATCAGTAAAAATAACTAAAAAGAAAGTGTTAAGAATAACAATTTAAGCCATAATTTTTTTATATCGAATATTTTGTTAAAATGTGAACAAAAACATTTAAAAAAGAGAAAGTATTTTTTCGATTATTTACGCAACAAGTTTCATTAATATACGTAATAATAATAAATATAATAATTATACAACGTGATCAAAATAACTATTAAAATAATTTTTTTTTATAGTTACATAATGAAATACTTTGATTACTAACAATAATATAAATTCAGTTATCATTAAATAATTACAAAAGTATAAACTAAAAATACACCTGAACAAAATTTTTAACATCTATTACTTAAAATCCAGTTTATAAATACATTTAGATGTACAACCATATTTAAATACTTAAGTGAATAAATCTATTAGTTCACTTAATACTTCAAATAAAAAACAAAATGTCATGTGTTCCATATTTTTCGAAGAAACTTTTACATCAATCTTCCATACATACATACATGTCAGTAAATGTTTTTACTTAATAGACATAAATATAATTTTTATAATTTAACATAAATCATAATAACTATTTTTTGATAAAATCAAATGAATTAAGAAAAACCTCTTTAAACTACATCATTCTCGATGATGAACCCATCAATCATTTTTTATACCACAAAACATTAATATCTAATAAATGTCAAAATAATATCTTATAAAGTTCAATCAAAAATACTCACATAATATCAAAAAAAATGTTGGTATGAAATTTATTTAAAAATCTTATAAAACTTAAAGAATTCTTTTGTAATCATTTTACATTGCAATTTTTTACATAGAACCCTTTTATTTATAAAATTACATTTCTTAAAATTGATATACTTTGTTATAGTTTCAGATGATACTGTTTTTTCACTGTAATAAAAAAAACAATTTATACGGAAATGTATCTATATTTTTTTAAGAAGCTCTAATTTTAATAGAGAATATTACACTTTTGATAAATTTAAATTAAAAAAAAAAAAACTGCAATAAGGTCAAATAATAATGTTTTTTTTTCTTAATTACAGCAAGTGAAAAACAATTAGTGTCACAATAAATATATAAACTGATTATTATTAACTTAACACTTTTTAAATAAAGGTTTTTTTTAAACTCTCAAGTAATTAACCCCGATTAATTTTACTTGGATAATTAATTTGATGATAGCCAATAATAATCAAATAACCAGAAAATATAAAAATCATTTTAAAAATTCTGAAATTAATTATAATTATATAGATCTACAAGAATGCATTATGTGATTGCAGAAATTTTAAAACTTTCACAGCAAATATATGACCTCTACAAGAAAATTATTTATTTTACCTCTTTTATTAAAAGTGTGATTTCTCGATGATAATCAACTAGTGGACTGTGGAATTTATAACCATAAATTAATTTATATAATTTGTTTTAATTTTTAAAAATTAACACTTAAGTTTAAATTAGTTAATTTATAGTAAAATTATAACTTATTGCTTAAAATTGATTATTTGATATTCCAACCACCGAAAATACGACTTTGCTGTGCGTCCCATTCAAAACTGACACGTCGATAATTCTTCAAAGGCAACATAGGTTCATGTACTGGTCGTGCCTTTAATTTTCCCTTGATAAAAATAAACAAGTCTTAATAATGTTTACTAATATTTACATGTTGATATAAATATTATTTATGATGTAATTATAAAACGCAAGAGATATCACCACTAGTTTAATAAAATGTAAAATATCCGATTTTAATATTTGTTGTTTCACCAAGACTAAAATATTCAAATTTGATCCTCATACTATACTGTTAAATTAACACTATTTGTTTTAATACAAAAAATGTTGGATTTCTATACATGTGACTTTTTTATTTTGTTCAGAATATATTTTATGCATAACAGTTTTATGTTATTCTTAGGCAATAATAATATAATAATAACATCATCATAATAATATTTATATTAGTATGCCAAATATGGTAAACACTTGTTTATTTTTAATCAATGGAAAATTCAAGACACGTTCAATTATTACTTAAAAATAACATAAAAGGAGTTATTCGTAAAATATATTTTTGAAAAAATAAAAAAAAAACTTGAGAAAAGAAATCCAACAAATCTTGTATTAAAACAAATAGTGTTAGTTTAACTGCACACCGTGTGAACTAAATTATTTCGGACTAAGTGATACAGAAATCAAAATCGGATATTTTACATATTATTCGACTAGAAGTGGTATAACTTACGCTCTATTTTTAATTTAAAGTTTTTCGGTATTTTTCTATTCTTCCTATAAATTTACATTTATAGTTAAGCTACATTCTATAAAAAATAAAAACTCAAAAGATATAGAGTCAAAAACCATTATTCGGCTATTCATTTTGCAATCCCAGTTATATTAGTATATTTTCTTTCTTTTTAACTTCAGTTGCCAATTAAAACTTAATATACCGGGTCTCCGTATGGACTCAAAGGGATATCCACTTCCGGGTTTCGACATTCGGGTACTCCCGAAGTAAGTTCATTCATTGTTTTTGTTGTACTGTACATAAATTTACAAACAATTTCCCTTCGGTCTTCTGGAACATCATCTAGGCTAATTTGAGGACATCTAAAAACCTTAGGTCTTGACTTTTGAACTACATTTTTCATACTTGCTTTTTCCTTTTCATACTTCAGAACTGCCTAAAAATATATGTAAATTAAATAATAATTCTGGCTAGAGTTCTTTAATTAAAAATTAAGAGCAATGTAATATTTTTATTTAAAAGCAAAGATAATGTTTAGAATATGATAACATCAAAATAGGTTTAAATGTAAATGATATTGACAATGAAATATTTTTTTATTCAAAGTATATTACATTGAATCGAAAAAGAATGATTCAAAAAGTGTAAATCATTATTTACACTGACAAACTTTAATTACACTAATATGTTTTTCATTCGGCTACCTATGTCGACTAAACATAATATATGTATTATTTTTATTTAGAAATATTTGTTCTGAAACTCATATGAAGATAAAGTATTTTTTCTGTAGTAATAAAAACAATGAGTAGGTATATGGGCTGTGTAAGTGTGTGTATTGACCAGGTATGATCGTTTGGGGATTTGGTCAATTGGTGATCAAGGAGTTATGTCGAGGATGTAGAGTTCGAAGGTTTAAAGATAAATAGACATAAAAATAAATAATTAAAGTTCCTCTTATAGAATTATTATAAATGACCCAACTGGTGAGTACCTGTAGTAATATAATGAGGAAACGAAGAGGTGGTGGCCATCTCACGAATACCCAATTGAAGTAATATATATATATATATATATATATACAATAAAAATCACATTAGGTTTTTAAACTCTTAGGCAACGAAGAGGTGGTGAACATCTTATGAATGCCATGTATAAGGTACGAACTAGTCAGTAATAATTATTTGAAGTTTAAAGATTAATATAAATATTTGATCCATTGCTTTATCGTTCTTTACTCAGATTATTAATTATAAATAATTGGGTCATAAAATAATAGATGTATTGACTTATTGATCTTAAATCTTACCAGATAACTTTTAAATGCCTTATAATAATTATTGTTAATAACAAAATAACACAGTTTTTTGTATTCCCGTACAATCATGATTGTCCTATTCTTGTAATGTTATTATTTATTGATAAGTAAGCATAAAATATAAAAAATATAAAAATTTATACACGTGAATAATATACAAATCATTTTGATGTTATATAACGTTATTATTGAGTCGCCTTCTCTCTCTTCAGCGATGGACTAACTCCTCCTTTGGGGAAAGCCGCTAAGGCCTTTAATGAGCTAATAAAGCGATTAAAAAAAATATAAATAACGTTAATATATTTCGTTTTTACATTTAAAATTAGGGTTGACGCATCGTGTTTTGTTTTTAAGATAAGAGTAAAAAGAGCTGACAAGTATAATTTATAAATTTCTTTTAGGAAAAGAGTAATTTTTAAAGATGACTAATAATTAACTTATGACTGAATCGTTTGTAATATTATATTATAATAATATTTCTCTAAATTATTTATTTAAAAACAATCATGTTATTCTAAGCATATGAATATAATTTTTAAATAGAAGTGTTAATTATCCTAAATAAAAAGATTAAATGAACGACCATTATTGTGAATATAAACAAAGTAGGCTACTGTTATGCCACATTATGATAATGATGAGTATATTACATTACACATTTTTAAAATTAAACTACTGATTAGGAATATTAAAATAACTTTAAGAGCTTTAATATGAAACTAAAAAACGTTATTTTACTACATTGATTTTTTAGTAAATCGTTAATATTAAAACATTCTTATACAGATTCAATTCTTTCATATTACATAAATTTTTTATAAAAGCTGTGAACAGCTGGTACTTTAAAGATTTACTGTATAATATTGTCTCATTCTGCAACATTAAAAAAACTTCGAATAATTTAGCATTTTCCTTTTTTTTTAAGCCTTGAACGTTTTTATGCACTTTGAGTAATATTGAAATTAGACAATAACAAATTGAAAAATTATGAAAATTTCATCATCATTAATGTTTTAGAATATTTTTTGATTTTCTATTTTAAAAAGGTATTAAAAAGGTTCAACTTCAACAACTAGACAAAACTTTTCTAGAAATAAAAGTGAAGTTAATTTAGTTTATGTGTAGTAAATATTTTTATTAAATCCATAAGTCAAAAAATTAAAATTCATTATAAACTTCGGTTCTTCCTACTTAGGTCGAAAATACATTTTGTTTAACATTTTTCTCTTAATTAATTAAAAAAAAATTAACTAATGAATAATAGAATCGTCTTCATCTTTAAAATTAAAATAACATTATTAAATTAAATTGCGATCATTGAAAGTTAAAGTAATTATTGAATTACGGAAGGGAGTTTAAGTAACTATAAATTAGTAAAATGGTAAAATTTGATTTATATTATGGCGTATAACTATATTAATGAAATTTCTGTCAAATTTATTATTGTCTGGATACGATATTGAATTTTTATATAAAAATAAATAATTTCATAGTTAATATCAACCACAGAATAAAAAAACTATCTAGTAAAAATTTATTTAAGTAAACAATACTGATCAAATACTATCAAATTCATATTAATCTAATGAAATCTTTTTTGACGTAAATTTTTATCAGAGCTCGCACAATAAAAGTATGTCAAAAGAATTTTCATTTTTATAAAAAGTATACCATTCTAAAAAATAAAATAATTTAGATTGAATTTTTTTAAGTTTAAATACAAATTAACAATAATAGAGATTAATCCATTGTTGTTGTTAATCAATTCAATTGCTTTTAAATGAGAAAAAATATGTCTAAAAAATCACAATTCAAGCTCATCTTATTTGCTACTAGTCCAGAGGTGTTGTGGAGCGTATACGCGGGTATACGGCGTATACCCACTTCTTTGTTTTTCTGTTATTGCGTATACTTATAAAATCATGAGTGATACGCGGGTATACGGCGTATATCCACTATTAGTTTTTTTATTAGTGCATATACGTATTTATAAAATAGTTAAAGAGTATAGACTAAAGAATAAAATAAAAAGTAATACGTGGGTATCGAATATAGGTACGTTTGTCATAAAACACAAATTTTGAATAACTATTATCAGTTTGTTTAATCTCTACAGTCATACCACATATAAACATATACCTGAAGTTATAAACATACAAATATGGCTCGAGACTATTATCATTTTAAAAATAGAATATAAATGTAAAACAAAAATAAATAAATAGGATAATGTTTATCATTTCACGACAATTTTATTGATAAAATTTAAAACATCGATCAGAAATTAACGATATAGCACATACTAAGTTGAAACTGAAATTTATTGGGTTAACCTATAGCTGTTGAAATTGGTAATTATATTATAANTTCTACATAATGTGTTGTTTCTCTTCTGAATACCATGGAGCCATGAAATTTTTATTGAAGATAATATTCATAGAACGTTATTTTTTAATAACCACTAGTGAAATGTACAAGTTTATTAAATAATTAAACATTTTTTATGGCGATATTTAACTCCATACGTGTAGTTATTTGTTACATTTTTTATGTATTCAAATTGTACTAACCTGTGTAGGATAATGTCCGATTGGCTGCTGGGAACCAATTATTGGTTTTGGTCGAGCATTATAATTAAAATACAATTTTTCTGAGTTCGGAATTATTTTTAAAGTCGCAATATTACGGAAAACATCTTGTCTTTTTCGTGCAATATTTAAACTATTCCGTTGACTTTTGTATTCATATTTATCCCAATTGAATATCTGCTGTCTTTCTGCAAATAAAGGCCATGTATAGTCCGACCGATAAGTCATTTCAAAGCATAAATACGATACCTTTGTACTTAAGAAATATGATTGAAAACCTAATAATGGCTGTTTCTCTGACAACTGTCAGTAATCTAAATAAATACAAAGTCAACAAATTTATATGTTGTGCTTACTGTCTAATTAAAACATAAAATCATTAATAAAAAAAAAACAATACGCACATCAAGTTTTTTCATTTTAAAATTAAAATAAAACTATTTTCTTAACAAACTTTATTCAATTACATTTTTCTGCTTATTATTATATTTATAAATATCATTTTAAAAAATGTAATATCAAAATCAATTGTACACACGTCAAGTTAGCTCACCTACTTAATTTAAATGTCAGTTAACGATTTTCAAAGGAAATTTTAAAATTGATATTTTTTTTGTAATATTATAAAAATGATAAAGAAAACAAAATTAGGTTTACTTTTCACTCTTTAACCCCATAAACACTTCCAGAAAAATAAAATTAACGTACAAAAAAGAATAGGATAAAAAACACTTTTAAAGTTTTACTTTTTGATTAAGAATACAATATAACATATTTAACGATTTTCAAATGTTATTATTAAAGAGTTTGATAATAAAAAAATAGTATTGTAATGAATCATGATTATAAAAGATATATTTTTTGACAGCCAAGACGGCAATGTTGTCACTAATTATTTGTTTGGCCTTTATTGTAGAATATTTTGTAACAAATTTGACTTATTTCTTCTTGTTATATTGTTTATTTTTAAACATAAATTATAATTATTTCAAACAGAAATATAAATAAACTTACTAGTCTATTAAAATTGCCGCTTGTATTATGTATAAAAGTTTTTAAAATTTACATAACTCTGGAACTAAGTAAGACGAGGGATTAAAAACAAATGTTAGACAATGCCTAAAATTTGTTAGAATCGTTAAAAAGTGATTTAGTATGTCATATAAAATCACTTATTAGTACATTAAACGATTGATTTTCCTGATTGAATTTGTGAGGATTACCGTATAATCTGATTCACTAATAAAAATCTACAAACCATGAAAAGATGAATAGTTTATTTTTGTTATGTAATAACCATAACAGTCGTACTGGTTGGGTTGGGCCAATGTCAGCGTACATTGCAGGCCAGCACGACNTTTGTGAGGATTACCGTATAATCTGATTCACTAATAAAAATCTACAAACCATGAAAAGATGAATAGTTTATTTTTGTTATGTATTAACCATAACAGTCGTACTGGTTGGGTTGGGCCAATGTCAGCGTACATTGCAGGCCAGCACGACTTATACAGGGTGTTCAGTAAGTCAGGAAACGGGTATCTATTGTTCTCATTGTTACAAACAATGAGAACAATAGAAACCCGTTTCCTGACTTACTGAACACTCTGTATATACAAATTTAGAACAGTTGTTTTTTGACATTATAAACTTAAATACCTAGACTACTGATTTTATGTTAAAACTAAATTATAATTATTAACGAACATTTTGAACTTATAAATGAATGTAAATCAATAAAAAAACAACTAATTAAGTTTATACATGAATGTCAAATTATATTGACCAAAAATAACCATTTATTATCTCTATTTCCACTTCCTCGACTATCTCAACCACAGGTAAGACTACCCAAGAAGTCATACCACTACGGAATCAACCAAGAGGTTATAGCAATTATTATAAATAAGTAATTAAAAACAGAATATTATTGTTAGATTCATATTAAGAAATATGTAATTTTAAATTCTACATTTAAAAATAACTGAAATTATTTTAATTAAACAAATAACAATTAATACTTAAAAGTTTAAATAGTTTCTTTTCAATAAATGTCCATTATTTTCTTTAATTAAACCATTACATCATCATTTTTTAAGATTTAGTTTTAAAATCACTCATTCATTTATTAAATTCATGTAAATGTTTTTATTTTTAACATACCACCTATATGTTTACAATTATTCAACTATCAATCTTTCTAGCAGTTTTCATTTTCATAGAGTATACAGAGTGGAACAGATCTAACTGATAACTCAAATAACTTATGATTTGCATACCATTTTACACTTTTTTTTTAAACAACTTTTTCATTATATATATATATATATATTTTAAATATGTTTTTTGTTATTCTTCACAAATACAAGAAAAATTTTTTTATTAACATTTTAATAATTTTTAAAGAAAAATGTTGAAAATTCTTATTTTAACTCAGTCGTTACGTTTCGATAGCATTTTGAATTTCGTTAAATTTTGATTTTTTTTTTACGATTTTTTTACAGTACCAAATGTTAGGTCATATTTTGTAGAGGACAGAAGAAAACACTATATTATTACGTAATATACTGGCGACATTACGCGAATTTTTTTCCATGAAAATATCAACACTTGAATAAGCACCTGTAATTGACATGAAAAGCATGTAGTACTGAAATTAAGTTTATTAAAAAAAAAAATGTAAAAACGTTATCTAAAACATGATATGTATAATTAAATATGTTTGATACAATTTTTCTTCTTCTCTACAGATGTTTGCGGTTGTGATCTAAGCAGGTTGGTGCGACGGGAGTCGGATAGTTTACCACGTCATGAGCGCTACCTGCCCTAACCGGTTTTACTGTTGGGGTAGTGTGTGTGTGTGTGGTCTCCTATTTGAGTTAAGATAACTCTATAAAAGTTATGGAGCATAAGTTATGCTCCAGATGTGCGTAACTGCAGTCAAATTACGGACACTGTTTCTGTGTTATGTGGCGTCTTGCCAAGCGTGTCACAGTTGATAAAGATGTCTCTGTTAGTTTTACTTACATGCTTAGCATTTGTTTATATAGTGTATCTTAAAACGTTATTTTGTGCAACTTATATTTGTCTAAAAAGTCTTTGTCCTTATTATTTAAAATGATATCGGAACACAGTTGATTTGGCTGAAGTGTGTAATTCATTCTGTGTAATTGTACAGAAAGTGTCTTTAATATTTGGTCAAGTTGATGTTTGACGGGTTGCAACCTGCCATTAGTACAATGTCCATAGAACCACCGTGATATTATAATTGTAAATATTGTATTCATTAGGATTATGATCATTAATCGATTCTTACGATACAGTTAAAACATACTAACATTATTTATAAGTAGATTATGTGTTATTTATATTAGAAAAATATAAATATGACCCAAAATAGTCATACAGTCCATAAAATTATATTTGAATTTTCGTTATTAGTTTTAAAATTTAACTTATTAACTTTACTTATTTTACATAAAGGAACCAGCAAAGACGATTTAACTCGGAATGTTAAAGAGTGGTCGACTAGTAGTCGCATTACACAACAGAATATTACCTAAAATTTGATACCTTAGAAAAATAGTAAAAAAATTCAAAATTCAACAAACTTCAAAATACTGTAGAAACGTAACAACTAAATTAAAATAATAGTTTTTGGTATCAACATTTTTCTTTAAAACTTATCTATAAAATGGATATCTTCAAATCTTGAAAAAAATTACATCAAAAAAATTATTTTTTGTTATTGTGAAAAATAACACAAAACATATTTTAAATATAGTCCTATAATGTAAAAATTTATTTTAAAAAAAGGTATAAAATATTATGTAGATCATAAGTTAGACGAGTTGTCAGTTAGATCTTTTCCACTTTGTATTTCATATCTTCAACACACAAAGTATAATATTTCAAAAATAAATAAAATAATTTATACATTATTATGATTAGTTTCATTTTAATAAAAAAAGTCTAGATTTAAAATATGAAATGCTTAAAACGTGGTTCAACAATCAACGATGTTTTGTAAATGTTCATACACGTAGTTCATCTTCTTCCTTCTGTAATATCTTGATTTCAAATTTGTTTATAAAATAATAACTGGGTTGTCTGCCTTTCTAAAAATTGAATGAAATATTACTTACAATGTTACACAGCCTATAATCTTAATATCTTAAAGTAATGCTAAGAAATATATATATATATAATAAGGAAAAACTTTAAAAATAATATATATTCTAATAATAGAATTTATTGTTTATAATCACTATGAGTGTCTTAATATATTAGTATATCAATATATAAATGAATTTTTTCTTATCATTTGTTTATAAAAAGATCGGTTTATATCATTATAGAAGGATATTTCATTTTTTTTACTTTGGCAAACATGCTATAGAAAATTTTTTTGCAAAAAATCATAGTGATAATAAAAGAAAAAGGTTTAGAACTGTATAGTCTTTTATCTTAAAAGCTGGAAGTAAAACATTTTATTTAATATTGTAATATTTGTAATTTCCTAATCTACTGTTATTCAACCAGGAAGTAAATATTTCTACTTTAATTACTTTTTTATATCTTAGTCGATTTAATTTATAACTCTGTTGCATCGTTAATAATTTTATTAAAATAAAACTACCGTGTCTAAACCGACTCAAAGAAAATCTTTTTCTCCCTTAACATTACCAATTCATGCCAAATCAACCAGAAGTGGTTGCACGACCACCTCATTTTTTTATTAAACTTTCAGGGTTTATTCTTTATCCTATAGTTAGTTTAAAACAATTTTTTTTATGACCTTCCCACTTTTATGCCTATTTCAATGTAAAATATGTTAAAAAAGCAAGAACATTAAAATTTTAGACTTAACCTTATTATAACTTAATAAAGTTTACATAAAAAAAAAATTACGCGAAATTCTAAGTGTTCATGACTTTTTAAGAATGGCGCTTTTTATGTGAAAATTGGCGTTTGAGTATATTTAAGAAAAAATGAGGTGGTCGTGCAACCACTTCTGGATGATATGGCATGGATTGATCCCAAGGGGATATGTAATAAGATTAAGGGTATTCAACTATTACCAACAAAAATTACTCGTTACGATATTACCAATCGTATAGAGTCGTATAGAGACCTAACCGTGTTTAAAAGATAAACTTCATATACCTTAACATATAATAACAGAGAGAGGAAATAGTTCAATAATGATGCAAACGTAGTAATTAAAACAAGGTGAATCATGAAAAACAATATTTACTATAGTAAATACTTATTGTCAAAAATGTATAGCTCAAAAAGGAAATTACCCGCGGTGATCCAGAGGTACTCTCCCCGACAATTCAATCCATTCCGTCTAATATCCTAAAACATTTTCTTTTTTCTTTTTAATCTAACACCAATGTTAATAATACAAAAATGTTTATAAATATTTACTCCTGGTCTAATTATAGTAAAACAGGAAATTACAATTAAACCAAATATTAAAATATTTAACTTCCAGCTTTAAATATTATAGATTATATTACAGAGTCATATTTCTTAGATATCAGCTCTATGAAATATTGATAGCGTAAGTCCAAGGGGACAATCGCTTCTCTCCTTAAATACATCTCTGGAATACGCAATAGCTAATAATATTCTAGTTATAATCGTATGTTAATATTATAGAAAAATTCAGGTTTTTATTCTAAGGACCATATAATAAAATCAATTTTGATAAGAAAAATTCTTATTTCTCATTAGTTCTCAAATTCTCATTAGTCTTACAACCTAACATTTTCATTGAAAAAAAAAATAAAAATCGGAGGACCCTTAGTAGTTTTCACTGAAAGTTTTTTTTTCATTGTTCTATTATATAATAAGGTTATACCTAGGCGGGAGGAAAGTCTAAGACGGGTAATAAGTAGTGATAATAATAGCAACACTCTCGTGTTACCTTTCACCATCACTATAAAATGTTATAAACTTTCGAAATACTGGTCGAAGTATTTAAGATAGACACTATATTTAATTTTTTTTTTTTAGTACAGTAAATTAATTAATTTACAAAATAAAAATTATTAATATTATTACCAAGTCTTTAGCTGTTCTATTAGCTCCAAACCTTATTAAAATATTACTCATCGTTTCCACTTTATCAATAGCCATAGCGTAGTGAAGAGCTGTACGCTCCATCTAAAAAAACAATAAGTTAAGCGTGTTACTCGAATAAATACTAATTCTTTTTTTGAAAAAAAGTTTAATCTATCTGTCATCGTATTTAATTACGTTTTAAAAAGACGGACTATATAACTATTCCTCGAGAAAATTATTGCTACTTTTAAAATATAATAAAGTAAAATACAAACAATTTAAATTAATTACAATTATCGAAAGATTTTTATTTTAAAAATGACTTAGTATTTAACTTTTGCGTGGTGAAATCACCCTCCCTACATCACAAAATTTAATCTTTTCAATCTTTTTTTACAATTAAAACAAACATTTTAATCGGTAAAGATAAATTGTTAACTCTTCACTATATTTTAGATTTAGTACGGCCTTGTGTCTGGCATTATTAATCCATTATATTTAAAGGGAAAATATTTAGTTAACCTTTCATCTTCTCCATTTTTTTCTACTTATTGGTCCAAATATTGAACAAATTAGTAGATGTTAACATTTTGGAATTACAAGATAACTGATTCCTCACGCAATATCTTTAAAAAAAAGTATAAGATATAAAAAAAAAATTTTTTGCAATTAATAATATCCTATCTTCTATAATTTTCAAATAATTATGGTCTTATGCTCTATATCTCACCTTTAAAATAGTATAAACTTGATTTTTTTTTTAATGGAAACGCATTTAACTAAGAAATTTCTGATCAAAGTTATTAAAGATTATTTTCAAAAATTGTCACTTTCATAGTTAGATAAATTTCTTTTTAAGCTAGTTAAATATATATGTTTCTATTAAAAAAAAAAATTAATACTATATTAATGGGAAGAGAAAAATGAAAGGACCAATTTTTTTTTTATTTAAAAACAAAAGAAAATACGATCGTAATAATTGTATAATTATTAATTTCAGAAAAGAAGAAATTATAATTTATTTCATAGTTTTAATAATATTGAGTGAGACATAATAAATCAATTACATTGTACATCTATAACACTTATCCTGAAAACTTCATCAAAATAAAAATATTTTTGAGTTTCATAAAATTTCTTAAAATCTTGTAAAATTATTTTATAGATTTTTCGAAAAAAAAGAAATATTTTTACTTAAGTAAAACTAGTTTTTTTGAAAAAAAACCTTATCGCCCACCACTTACTAACTTAAAAAAACTAGGTTTCTAATAACCATGATTAATTATTATCTTGAACATAGAGAAATCGAAGTTATATAAATTGTTCAGTAGGTAAGGAAACAGGTCATTTGTTGCAAATAATGAAAACAGTAGAAACCCGTTTTCTTACATACTGAACACCTATATAATTTTAAATAATCACTCACATTATCAGGAACATTTAATACAGTTGGAAAATTTTCTCCTAATAGTCTTACAATTTCTTCATTCTGACTTAGAACTGCTAAATGCATACTACAACGTCCATATTGATTTTTCGCAACTGACAACATGACACATTGTTCATCCTGAGTTTTTAACATTTCATCTACTTGACTTTGAGATCCTAAACGAATTGCTCTATGGAGTCTTTCCCTTCGATCCTAACCGACAAATATTTTAAGTATTAATAAATATAAAAAAAGAAGTACTTAAGACATTTTTTTTTACTTCAAATGTTGGTATGTACTGTAGAATAATTAGCATACTTGAGTGTCCTCGATCTGTCGCAAGAGACATAATATCCTTATCAGTTTCTAAATCTAATATGTGGCCGTAACCTTCAAGTAATAAGCCAATAATTTTATTATGTTCCCCTACGAATATTTTGGAATTTTAATTATTAATAAACATAATCAGTAAATAATATATCACCACAGAATATACAGAATGGACACTGATGAAAATTTAGATAGCCAATAATAGGGAGATGATTAAATCTTTCAGCTGTTTTTATCTAGGTAAATCTATCCAAATCGCTAAATTTAAACTGTGTTAACCTTTTCCCAAATTAAATAGTCATTATAAAATACTTTTTTCACAATTTTAAAACTTATTTAATATGTAATAGGTATATTGAAGTACTAAGCATATTATACAATAAATGGAAATAATATTTGGAATAGATTAACGTTTTTATAAAATAAAATAACTTTATTTGTTTTTACTACAGTAAAATTGATAACATTTCATCTACAACAAAACTACCAATTTAGATTTCTTCTCTTATGGAAATGAATTTTTTTTGTTTCATTCGGTGTATAATATTACTGACATTTTACTGCTAAACTGGTTTATCTAAATATAAAATTTAATAATATCATTGTTTGTATAATATTTGCAGTAATTTTGTTAACTATATTCACAAGAGAAGAAGTTTAATCATTCATTTTTAAAAATAAATATTCAATATTTATAAATTTTCATTATATTTTCTTTAGGTTACTTTTTATTATTTCGTATTTGACGTAGAAATATTAGAATTTTTTATTTATCTTTTTTTAATAAATTATAACAGTTTTAATATATTATTGAATACATTGTATTATTTAATATAATATTATATAAATTATAATAAAAAAAAATAAAGCAATATTAGGATTTTTCCAAGATTCATATATTTTTCCTTTTAATGCCAATTACATTTACTACAAATGATTTAGCGAACTATATATAAGTATTTTTGAAATCTCCATAGCAATTTCTTTATACAAAAATAACAAATATTACTCAAACTTAAATTGGACAAAAAATATAGCAATAAGTTAAATTTTACTTTTTTGAAAAAGACTAAAATTCAACTTTAAACGTCCATAGCAGTGACCAAACAGTCGCAAATTTTGAACAGATAATTGGGTTTAAAGTAAAAATATATTTTGAATTTGAAAAGAAAACATATATCAGGGTGGTTATTATTTTTCGATTTTTGAAATTCCTCGGTCCCAACTCCCAAATTTGTATAAGTAGTTGTAAAAAGAAACCAAAAAAATTTTACGTCAATCAGACAAGTTTAACCAATGCTTAATTGGGTTAAAAATTGGGCAATAAGGGTAGTTTTTTTGCATTTAACTCATTAATGAACTATCATAAAAAAAAATCATAAAACATAAGTTATTGACCATGATTTTTACAAAAAATTTTTAATTTACAAATTTTGTTTAAATCTATTATTTTTCTAGCAAAACTCCAAAATACACTGTTTTTATCGAAATGACAAAATTGACATATTTATGGATATTACATTATATCCAACGAGTGCTTATAAATATGAATATATCAATCATACAAAAATCGTTAATTATTAAATTTGAAAAAACAATAAACACAGAAGATATTGTGAGGAACTTAGTAACCCTTCTCCATTATAAATAAACAAAAATACACAGCTGAATAAAAATTTTACTGGCATATAAAAACTAAATAATATTTATAATGAATTTTTTTTTTTAGTCTTAAAATTATCTATAATTTAGATACTTCTGAACTATCTTTTGAAACTAAAGCATTAACCATGATCTTTTTTACTTAAAGTGTCACATTATCTTAAAAAAATGCAAAATCTATTGCTTTTTCAAATAAATACCATATGTGGTTGCAAAAATTTTTTTAAACTACTTTTGAAACGTCATCATAACCATAAAAATACACATCTTTAATAAAATTGAAAACTAGGTGTGGTACTAAAAAAGCAACATGAGTTTCGAAACATATTTTACGTAAAAATAATTTTAAAAAACCCAGCACAGTGGGGTCGTGGCATAGTTGGGTCCAGTATAGATGATATCTCACAATGATTAAAATCACTATCATAAAAAACACTTCGATGCAAATCTGTAGATAGTGTTTAATTAAAAAAAAAAAATTGTCAAAAAAGTAGGTCAAATAAGAGCTGAAAAAATAAATTATAGCTACAAAAAAAAAACCACATAGTAAAATAATATTAATATGAATTTCTTCTCACGAGAGGAGACTACAGTAATGGAATCCTTGATATTTATTGAAGTTATTGAATCTAAATGAGATAAAAATCAAATGAGTTAAACATTTTTTTTTAACTCAAAAATAATTTTAAAAAAATTCAGTGCCACAGTCTTGAAAGACCCAAGTGTTACCTTCTCAAAAACCGCACGTCTCATTCGTCACTTAATAAAAATGGAAATTTAGCTAGTTCAAGTTTTAAAGTTATTTTTCCCGAAAGAAACAAAATAATTATATATGTTTAACTTTTTATACTATGTCAATTAGATTGATATAATATTTATGAAAATCAGTGTAATCCCCTTATAATAAAATAAAATACAAAACCAAGAATTTTAACACAATAATAGCATATTTTTAAATACGGTAGCTATTTTCACCATGAAGACAAAATAAAGTCCGAAATTTTTTTTTCCATAATAAAGTATATTACATTAGCTTTAATTTAAGATATATATAAAAGTGTCAGTATTTCCAAAACACTTTCAAAATTTAAGTTGAAAAAGTTGTCATTTTGAATCCCCCCTGTGGGCTGGTAAAGGATTAAATTTATAAAAATAATATACTAAATTTTTCAATTTTTGAGGGTAATGTCTTCGACTAGATACGATGTATCGTTGAAAGAAATCGGTTCGGTGAGAGCTGAGAAAAAGTGGCAACAGACACGAAAAAAAAACACATCATAGTAAAATTAATACCTTCTTAGCTTCGCATCGAAGCTACATATATTCCTCAATTTTTTTCTCATTTTTATTTTAAATGAAAATGATTACGAAATAAATACATTAATGAATAAAACGCTTTAGCTATTCACGTAGCGTGATAGATTGCACTTGGAGTTTTAATAGGGATTTTACCAAATGAACATCCTTCAAAAAATATTAATGTCAACTCAAAAATTTTTTGTAATCATATCTATTATTATTATTATTTTTAGTTATTAAATACAAAATTGCTTTATTTTAAAATATTATAATTTCTCGCTCTGGAAGACGAGCAATTTCACGAATGTTATATTTGACTACACATAAATTGTAAAAAACTAACAAATCCTGATTAATAGATAGCAATTTACTACCAGTAATCTAACTACATTCATTGATCAATAAATAAACATTATTCCAAATTCTTGAACTTGATATTTTATAAATTTACTAAAATATTATTAGAGAAGAAAAAATACACAACGAATTATGAGTGATAACTGATTTCTAGTTTTTTACTCTCATTAAAATTGAAAGGGATATATAAAAAAAATAATATTTCTATTTGGAGGATTACAACATTTATCTGATAGGGGTCTTTAAAATACGCATAAAAGAGGATGTGGGAGATCGTGTCAAGTGGTAGTTTAGGATAAGGCTGGCCGACCCCAAGTAGTTGTGATTAAGGCGAAGAAGATGAAGACTGTTAATTTTTGTGTGGTTTGTTTTTAAATTATGAACAATTTAAAATGTTTATCTCCAAACTTTATTTTAATTATTGAATCAAATTTAATGCAAAAGAAAATAAAAGATGGGGGTTATAGATATAGCAAGGAAATTATACTTGAACGATTAACCATCAAGTATTAATGATGTTTACTCAAATATATCTTTTTTTTTTTAACTAAAAAAAATTAATAATTACAAATTTGAAAAATCACTGGAAAATATTTTTAAAAATTTGTCGTGGAGATAATAATACTTTATATTGAAGTGTAATTATTATAAACATATTAAGCATTCGGTATCAGATTATATAAAATTAAATTATTTAATCTGCAATAGAGTTAAAAAGACTAATGTAGGTAGATAAAAGATAGGTCAATAAATAAAAAAATGCAACAAAAAGTTTTATGTTATCTGTGCTTATATTGACGTTAATTCGACACATTTTATATAGATTTTTTGAATACCATACAAAAATCCATATGTTAATTCAATATAGAACACTACTATAACCATAATAAATTTATCTATTATATTTTAAACAACAAAAGTTTCAGTACTACCAATTAATAATGAGCAATGAAGCCAAGGTCAAAAGTCATATTTTCTAATGCAAACTTTTGTTCAAAAAGTAATATTGAGTTATTTTGCAATAATTTTTTCTATATTTTGCAAAATTAAAGCGCCAAATTACAAAAACTTCGATATTGGGATTATAAATCATTTTATTTTTTAAACAGGACATCAATTTTTTAGTTTTTTATCAATAATTATTACAAAATATTTTATAGTTTTTTTTATTATGCATTAGAATATTGAATATATAATATATAATATACATCTATTGAATATATTATTGATCAATTTATTTTTTATTAGTAGTGTATTATACGTAAGTTTCTGAATTTTTCTAATATTTTGAAAATAAAATGATAAAAAGTAATAAATTTCATTGGTAAATTCGAAGACAACAAATGAGAAAATTCATAACAAAAATTATAGGTAATTTAATTTTGTTTAATTTTATATGAAAAAAATAAAAATCAAATAAATTGTCACATTAGCATCTTCTTTTATGCTAATTAAAATGTATTACGGATTTTATATATGAAAATACAACGTATATAAATATAAATGGTGAGAACATAGTAATAAATATTCTTTCAATACGAAAATTAAAATACGAGTTGATGGAAGAATTTACATAAAAAAATCATTTGTTATAAGTCATAAAATTTTTTTTTGTTTGTAATCTATAATTAATCATAATTAATGTTTAGCAAATTCTTAACAACCATTTATATGATACATAAATGTTTTTAGGCAGAGTACAGGCCTCCTGAATCTTTTGTAAATCCGATTTTAAATCACTAGGTGAAAAGGAAGTTGTCTTCAAAAAATATTGGTAATTGGGTGAAATGAAAGTAATAGTCAGATTTAAGTGGTCATTTTTCATAACAATCATTTAAAAATGGGTCAATGCTTTTTTCATACAAAGCAGTGTTATTAGTATTTATCTGGGTGTATCGAATTGAATTAGAAGAAAATTTTATTTTAGAAATTTCCATAATATTAAAGTCAACAATAATGAGCTAAATTACTTAATGTTCACCTCTTGCTATTATATGAACCACGTATTTATCAATTATTTGAACGTTTTCTCTGAGATTGGAGTTGATTGCAATATCCCTAGGAGTCCTATATAACTCATCTCGTACGCCAATATTTGTATCAAGATCCTGCAACAACTGAAAAAATGCATTTCGATTATGTACTCTTGAAGCTGCATAATGTAACATGTTCATCCCAAATTCATCCTAATCAAAATACAGTATAAACGTATTTATTTTAGAAGCTAAATTTTTAGTCCAATAATCAATTTTAATACAACTTACTCGACTAATAGATTTGAATGAAATGTAATATTTGTTGAAATACTCCCATGGCTTGGTGTCTTGTTTACTTTCGTTTTTACTATCCACAAGATTTTTTGATAATAGTTGTGTTTCTTTTCTAACAACCTACATAAAATGTGGTAGTTATGATTGATATTATAATGCACAAATAGTTGCGAAAACCTTTTTTCACTATCGAAAACAACATCAGACTTTTCTGTATTTCTTCCATTATTTCAATATTATACCAACCTTCTTATAATACTTTATTACTATTTATTGTAATAAAATATAATTAAATTTTAAGTTGCAAAACAATTTTCTTAGTAAAAATTGAATAACTGTTTTAAATAAATAATTTATTTATGAATATTATCCGTTTGCAGTGGCGCGAAAGGAAAATAATTGTGAGAAAAGTCTTATTACCTTATTATATTTTGCTCACCAAACATTTTTTACTCTGAATTGCTATTTAAAAAAAATAAAATGAACAAAAAAAAGGATTATTTGGTTAAAAGTTCAAAGATTACATATCATTTTGGGAGAAAAGGAGTACAACCCTTTAGTGGCGCCACTGTTCGATTATAATCATATATATATACTTTATCTAAAATAGGAAGTATTAAAGAAAAAGGAAATAATTGGTACATTGGATAATTACATTCTAATAATAATTATTAAAACTAATTCATCTATGAATTCGCTATTACTTCAATTTATTAAAAACTATATGCAAACACTTTTAAATATTTTATATAAGTTGGAATACTAATACCTAAGAAAAAAATACATACATCGACGATTATTTTATCAATACAACGCAGCAACTATGATAATATTTACAATAGATAACTTATTTTTATTTTAATCACTCTACTTCATTCAGTGTCTGCTTTGTAATTGTGTTTAACTTGAGTCACACTTACTCCACTATCTTTGTCTAACTGTTGATCATCAGAATAATTTGACAAATAATCCGCTAAATGAAGAGTTGGGTTAGACGGCCGACGTTTAACCAGTTCCTTTAAACCAGAAGACAGTGGTTTACCGATAGCTAAATATTTAGCAATAACATTCTTAGTTCTTAGTTTTTTAGTTAATATAAAATGTAACGACACAATACACACATTCAAAAAATAACTATAATGTTGTATTTCTCTCACCATTTGTTAAATACTTTCTGTCTTCATTTGAATACCGATTGGCACTCATAACTGACGAGAGTATTTTACCTGAATTATTTGGCAATCCTATAAAATATATTTTATTATAAAAATTAATGTCTGAGAACAATGAACTTATACTCTATTATAACTACTAACTATCCATATCAAAATTACAATTATCGTCTTTGATATTAACAGCAACAAATCCCAAATCCTTACGAATTTTCTCTGGTTCAAATACATCGACGCCGTCTCCAAGACTTTGTAATGCATGATGTCCAGTTAGATAGGACTGTAAATATTTGATTATGATTGCTATGGATACATTATAACAACATGAGGTTAACGTTTTTATATCGTTAGCCATATATATTTTAAGTTTTTTTACTTCAATTTTGAAGTAAGTATTAATGAATTTTGTAAATTGATTAAATAAAAGATTACGTCAGAATTCATAATAATGAATAATGGAAAACAATCGAATTAAATATAAGGGTTAATCAGTACAGACAGTCTAAACCATTAAAATAATTTAGCATGTTTCTTGTAAATTTCTGGCACGCACAGTAAAATAATACCAATAAAATAAACTAAATATATTTTAAATGTGCATTAAAATATAAAAATTTTTTTTGCAATAACACAATGTAAATTTATAAAATATGTCCATATTGATTAACATTACTTTTCTGCGATTTTAAAATAAATTTGTAAAGATACTCTTAAAATTCGATGTGAATTGTAAACACTTTTCATTATTTAAATTTAAACTTTTTACTATTATGCAATGTCATATTTTAAAAATCGTTACGTAGATATACGTTCCACTTTTTGTAGACGTTTCATTTTCATAAATATAATATATGTCTATTTAAGCACACAAATATAAAATCTAATTTAAACTAAATAATTGTTATTGAAAAGGAGTTAATTTAAAATTTTATAATGAAAATTTGTATGAACATATATGTAAAAACTTCTATCAATATTATCAATTATAGATATTGGCTGACAAACTTCTCTGGGTCATCTTTATAAGATCATAAAATTTATATGATTGCTCCTGGAGTAATAATAACGAGATAACTAAATTATCTCATAATTAACATATTTAGAAATGTTGTATGAAGGTCCAAATAGCTTTTAGAACGAAGAGTAGTGGGAAATTCACTCATCCATTACCCCTAATACTTTAATTTTATATCCATGTGGATCCGAACCGAATAGATCCTTTTGTAAATACGCCATTGTTTTTGGGGGACATAAAATAAACGAATAAATGATATACATTGTCAAGCAGTTGAAGCATTCAATTGAAAACAAATCTTCCATTACTATTGTTCAAGTTAATTCTCAAATTAAGTATTAAATATTTTTTTTTAAACAATGAAATGAATCTTACTAGAAAACACTATGTTTCAAATTAATATCAAATTAATAACTATTTGATATCCCATAGAAAATGTGATTAGAAGTTCACGTTTAACTGTGAATTGTAAATTAATTTTTAAGTCGTACCATATGCTAATTGTACGAATGTAATGTACAGATTGTATATTTTCTAATAAAAAAAAGAAGTTCATATTTTCAACATCACTCAACCTGACGTTTGGCGTACAAAGTATATTACAAAGTATTTGACAGGCGTTATTTTGTAACCTTTGTAACCATTGTTTTAGTAATAAATCATATTTGAATATGTAGCAGATATTTATTGAGATGAATATTACATATTATTGGTGAATACTTCAGTAATATTTTAGTGACTATTGTCAAAATGTTTATTCAGAGATATAAACACTGACAAGCATAAAAATGTGTTAGTATTTATTAGGTATTTTGACTGAATGTTGTCAATTTCTTGATCAAATGTAGGTATTTACCATTCTAGAAAATTTCTGTCGGCATTTTATAGTATTTGATATAATAATAGTAAATAATGGTTTACTGTGAAAATTATATTTATTTTATAGTATTGTAGGATGTCTAAGAATATTACAATACTCTCAATGAATTTCGGCAAATTCCAAGTATTTGCATGTACTAAACAATTATTGATAATTTTTACTTCAATAAATTAATTAGGAAAATATATTAAAAATTGTATATTTAGTGAAATTCAAACTGTTACAATTTCAGTAACCTAGTATAAATCATAGGTACATACCTTTAAATTATTATCAGAATGTATAAGAGCATTAAATAGTGTTTTATCTGGCAATAAATTTATATAGTCCATTGGTGTACGTCCTTTGAAATCAGTCGACTTCAAAGTTTCAGGAAATCTAGCTGCTAGATAACCAAATATATTCAATTGTTCATAAATAGCCGCAACATGTAGAGGCGTTAGACCTAATCCAGTTTTCGATTCCCGTGCCAAACAAAACTTTCTCCTATCTAATATTTCTGACAACGTTTTCATATCACCAATAGCACAACATCGATGAATTTGTTCTATTTTGTTCTGAAAAAAATTACATTTCTTGTTAAATAAAACAGCAGTAAAATTATAATAAGTATAATTAATTATAATATAATTAATATAATAATTATTTGAGAAATTAATAAGAATTAAATAATTTTATGTATCTCTATATAACATATATTATATATGTTATATATTATACTATTAGAAAAGTAAAAAATGATTATTATTAGATACGTGAATTAAGAAAACTTAGCTGCTCAGAGAACTCTATACTACAAAAAATACAAATTAAAAAACCCAGCATAGTGGGGTGGCGGCACAGTGGGGTCGTGGCATAGTTGGGTCCAGTATAGATGATATCTCACAGTGATTAAAATCACTATCATAAAAAACACTTCGATGCAAATCTGTAGATAGTGTTTAATTTAAAAAAAAAAAATTGTCAAAAAAGTAGGTCAAATGAGAGCTGAAAAAATAAATTATAGCTACAAAAAAAAAAAACCACATAGTAAAATAATATTAATATGAATTTCTTCTCACGAGAGGAGACTACAGTAATGGAATCCTTGATATTTATTGAAGTTATTGAATCTAAATGAGATAAAAATCAAATGAGTTAAACATTTTTTTTTAACTCAAAAATAATTTTAAAAAAATTCAGTGCCACAGTCTTGAAAGACCCAAGTGTTACCTTCTCAAAAACCGCACGTCTCATTCGTCACTTAATAAAAATGGAAATTTAGCTAGTTCAAGTTTTAAAGTTATTTTTCCCGAAAGAAACAAAATAATTATATATGTTTGATTTTTTATACTATGTCAATTAGATTGATATAATATTTATGAAAATCAGTGTAATCCCCTTATAATAAAATAAAATACAAAACCAAGAATTTTAACACAATAATAGCATATTTTTAAATACGGTAGCTATTTTCACCATGTATTCTCCTAATAAGATATTTTAAAATAAAATACAAATCCTAGAATTTCAATAGAAAAATAGCATATTTTTGAATACGGTAGCCATTTGCGCATAGAAGATAGGTGGTCAGGACAAATTTTTTTTATTTTATTTTATAGTACATAAAATAAGCTTTAATTTTATATATGTTTAAAGGACGCAGTATTTCCGGAACACTTTCAAAAGTTAAGTTGAAAAAGTTCTACTTTTTATACAATGTTTCAAGTTTTGAACGCTCCCTATATATGGGGAAATTGTCTAATTTTAATAAAAAGTATGTCAAAAGAAAGATGTACTTATAATGTATTTAGAAAAAAAAATTTGTGCTGATAATTACATTTTTCGAAAAGTTATAGCATTTTTAAGTTAAAAATTTAAAATCGAAAATTTTAACACAAAAATAGCGTTTTTTTAACTACGGCAGCCGTTTACATGCAGAAGATAAAGTGTCGGGACAAATTTTTTTTTTTCATTTTGTAGTACATAAAATAAGCTTTAATTTGATATGTGTTTAAAGGACGCAGTATTTCCGGAACATTTTCAAAAATTAAGTTGAAAAAGTTAGCTTTTGTAAAAAAGTTGCTATTTTAAATCCCTCCCAATGAGCAGGTTAAGTGTTAGGTTTTCAAAAAAATGATATCAAATGAAAGGGAAATTGAAAGGATTTTAGTATAAAAAAAAATTATGTTCATTTGTTTATTTTTGAAAAAGTTATGGAAGTTTTAAGAAAAAAAAGTGAAAAAAATGACAAAATTTACCGATTTTTAAATTTGTAATTTTTTTTGGATATTTCTCCCATTTGCGGGAAACGAGGGAAAATTTTTCAATTTTTAAGGGTAATGTCTTCAACTAGATACGATTTGTGATCTTTTGACATATTTTTGAAAGAAATCGGTCCTGTGAGAGCTGAGTGGCAACAGACATAAAAAAAAAAAAAAACACATTATAGTAAAATTAATACCTTCTCAGCTTCGCATCGAAGCTAAATTGTTAGTTAAATATTAACAATTATTTTAAATAACATATTTATTTATATATATTATACATTTTTTAAACAATAATAACCACAAGTTGATCATTAAAGTTTATTATTAAAAATTGTTAGGTATAATTTGTATTTCATATTATTATATTTAAAATATATTTTATTTTCCAAATTATCTTTTATATTTTAACTCATTAAATTTATACTTAAATTTTATGGGCCTTCTTCGGCTACTGTAGATAAATCTAAATCAGATAAGAACTGAACAAGGCAGATGCAAAAGTCTATTATACAAATGGCGCATTCAATAATTTCTTTTTTGCACATACAGAACTGATCAAACGCTCCAACATATCGTTGAGCAGTGTGCAAACATAAAATTCGAAAGCAGAGTGGGGAAGCTACACGAAGCTGGGATGGAAGCAATTAATTGTATAATGGGACTAAAGACACCATTATAATGAATGATTTGTCATATTCAAATTTTACATGTTTAAATGCTTACAAATGCAATTTTTAGCTTCTAAACGAAGCTTATAAGGTTTTAATTCTACCATGATGTGTTAATTTTTTTATTTTTTTGTGTCTGTCACTACTTTTTCTCAGCTCTCACTGAACCGATTATTCTCAACCATACGTCAAAAGGTTACAAATCATATCTAGTTGAAGACATTACCCACATAAATTGAAAAATATTCTCCATAAATGTTGGAAATCCCCCAAAAAATTATGATTTATAAAATCGGTAAATTTTGACATTTTTTTCACTATTTTCGTAAAACTACCATAACTTTTTGAAAAATGAATGAACCAAAATAATTTGTTTTATATAAACAAAATGTATGTATTTCTTTTTCATTTGATATAAATCTGACCCTTAAAGCTTACGTTACGTACTATAAATAAAAAAAGAAATTTGTCTCCACGCCTTATCTTCTTCATGCAAACGGCTGCAGTAGTTAAAAACATGCTACTTTAGTTTTTAAATTTTATTTTTGTTTGTTTATTTTAAAATAACTTATAAGAGTTTTCAATAGTAATGAGTCCACCGATAAATATAAAATTTACATGAATTTAACTTACATTAAACATATATTTATACTTATTTTGATTTTTTTATCTCTTCAAAGTTAAGAAAAGCTTTTTTGAATTTTTAAAAATTTCTTTAATTTGTATAAGAGTCTTTTATGCCATACTCGGTCAAAAGCCTGTGAAATATCATGAAAAGCGCAGGTACAATATAATTTTTTTTCAAGTGCATAAGAAACTGAGTCAACTAGTCTATGTACTTGGTGGATAGTTGAATGCTTTGCACGAAAAACAAATTGGTAGTCTGATAGAATTTTATTTTCATTTATAAAGGGAAGTATGCGCTTGAGTATGAGTCAAGTATGAGTTTCAAAAACTTTCGCAAAAAATGGTAATAGACTAATTGGTCTATAAAAAGTTGACGAGTCAAGGGACTTATTTGGTTTTGGGAATAGGATGATTTTAGAGAACTTCCAGAGAAGTGGAAAAGCCTCAGTATGACATTAAACATATGGGTAAGTAGAATAAATGCTCGTTTAGGTAGACATCTAGCTACATCAGCAGTAATTAGATCAAAACCTGGAGACTTCTTTAGAGAGAATTTTTGTATGGTAAATTTAATATCATTTGGCATAAAATGCTTGACTGGTAGAGTAAGTGGTAATGGTACGTCAAGATACCTAAGAACCGTATGTATGTTGTCAGGTGAAATATCTTGGTGGGGTTGGAAAACGTTAAAGAAGTGATTATTAAATATTTCAGCTTTCTCAAGGCGAGGCTAGACTTCCATCCGTCTTTTTGATATGTGGGGTAGTTACTTTATATTGTAATGCTTGTTTTGTCGCTTTCCAAAGGCTACCATTTTTTGATGATAAGTTAGTCAGGTATTTTTCAAAAGAGAGATTTTTGTAATTATATAACATTTTTTTAAGAGAGTTGGCTAACTTGTTACATATTTTTTTGTGTGAGGGTAAGCGAGTACGTTGGTAGAGAGCTTTAGCTCTTCTTTTTTCTGCTATGAGAATACGAATATTTGTCGGTAGTGAATCGGTATTAGTCGTACGTACATTTTTAGCTTTGTTAGCAGCCCAATATGCTGTTTGAATAACATTAGTTAGGCTATTTACAGCAGTGTCTATGTCATCATTGGTTTTTAATTTAATATTTATTTGGAGGTTCTGATCTACAAGGTCATGAAATTGGAAACGATCAGTTGATTCGTGAAAAAGTCTTAGTGGTTCAATGATAATTTGCAGATAGTCCTTAATTGTGAGAATAACCGATGAATGATCGGAATTTAAATCCAGAATATTGTCAACAGAATAGTACAAATTTGAAGGGATTTTGGTTACAAATACATCTAGTATATCTGGATTTTTATGGGGAGATGATGACTAATAGGTAGGTCCTGGAGGAGCAAGTACTTTGAAATTTTTAGAATTTATAAAATTGTAGAGAACGTTTCCACGTGGGTTGTTTACTCGACACTCCCAACTTTGGTACTTTGCGTTATAATCTCCGTCAATTATAAAGTTATTGTTAATTGTATTGAAATAATTTAAATAGTTTGCATATGATACATTCTGCTTAGGAGGTGAGTAAATTACTGCTACAGTAATTGGAATATTATTTAAACTGATTTATATAGCACAATATTGAATAAAGTCTTGACAGAAATTTGGAAGAGTTTGATATATTATTGTGGATTTTATTAAGATGGCCACACCTCCATGAGCTGTGTTGTCTGGATAGTTAACTTTATGTAGTTTTAACCAGGAATGTGTATGTGTGAATATTGAGTTTGGAGTTCATTAGTATGATTTTTTATTTGCATTAAATAGTAGGATACGAAGGAATTTGTTTGTAGAGAGATTAGTCATTTCTTTTATCTAACTTTAGAGAGGATATTACTTTAGTAAGGAGAGATATTAGAGGATTTATAAGAGATTTAAAATCCTCAAGAAAATTAGTCATTACTTCATTAATGTCAGGTGAGGTGGGAAAAAGATAAATTGAGCGTTAGCCAGAGGTAGCCTGAGCGTCTGAACGAGAAGTATTTAGGGAAGCGTCATTTTCTGGGTGGCTAGTTTGTACAACGTTTGACTTAAGTCTAGAGTTATCTGACAGAAATACAGAAAAGAAGGTTTCTTACGACGTTGAAGTTCTTTGTAGACTAAACAGCCTTTGTAGTTAGTTGGGTGGTTTCCTTAACAAAGTGCACATTTGGGTGGAGCATCACGAGAGTTTGAACAGTCGGATGATTGGTAGAAATCACCACAACGAACACAGCGTGATGGGTAGTTACAATAAGATTTAGTATGGTCATATTCCTGGCAGTTTAGACATTGACTTATTATCTTAGGTTAGTACGGTTCTTCGACTTTTATTTTAGTATGGACCATAGAGGTTAATTTATATATATTATTTGATTGAGGGATAGGTTCCAGATCGACAAAAATAGTGGTAATGGATGTTTATGAACTTTATGAACAACAATAGTAACATTACGTACTTCAAATTCATGGAGTTCCAGTTCTGATTTAATTAAGCTGATTTGAGTTATTGGGTGTAAATTGCGAATTACTACACGAGTAGGTTTATCTTGTTGCAGTTGATACGTATGATATTCAGCTTTTTGCTCCTTAAGGTAGTGAATTAATGTCCTATATGTATCAGGAGTGCTAGTTTTGATTTTTAATCGATCCTTGGATGACTTACAAATAAAGTTTTCAACACCAAGTAACTCAATTAGATTTGTGCATAGTGCAGGAAAGTCTTGCACACCTTTTATAAAAATTGGAGGAGGAGGTTTGGTAGTAGATTCTGTGTTGTTTTTTTTTTCATGTTGTTTGAGAATGTGTTAGTGTTTTGAGTATCGTCATGACCATCAGTTATTTTTAAAACTTCAAATCTATTTGATGATGAAAATAATTTTTTTTAATTGGTTGAGTATGTACTTTAGGTGAGTTAAAAAAAAAGTATTTAAGTATTTAATTAAAAAAAAAAAATAAAACCAATCATAGAGGTTTACGGTGAAGTTGGGACAATTATAGATATCTTAGGATGATTAACAGCACTACCATAAAAAAACTCTTTCGTATGAATATGTTAAATATCTTTTGAAATAGACAAATATAATATCTAAATATTTAAGATGCAAATAACTCAAAAATTGAATAAAAAATAATTTTTTTAAAGATAATTTTAAAAAAATGCAACACTGTAAAACAAATATGTTCTTGGCTTCATATCGATGCAAAAATTACCTTAAAAATAATTTTTATGTAATAAAGTTGCAAGAATTTTTATTAAAAATAAAAATATTTAAAAAAAGTATAGTTCATATAGATTGGTTGGGAACGCGCTGTGCTTCGTTACATGAGCATAAAGGTTGTATGCCATACCACTAATCTGGAAAGGTCTACAGTCCTCTCTAATAAAATAATTAAGTTAAACAACAATTATTCCATGTAAAAATGTCTATATATTTTATATTTAATTACTCCAAAATAATTCATACATATAAATTATATTGAATTATTATAAATTATAAATTTATAATTAAAAATTATAAATTTAATTGAAAATAAACATAGAATTTTTTTGAAATAATTGTGGAGAATATTATTAAATATTCATAGGATTTAAAGTTTACTCAGCAATAAAAGTTGAAAGCAAAAAAAATTGAAAATGCAACAAAAATCAAACCTACATAATGCGTAACACTATCACTTCCAAAAAAAATTTCAATGAAATTTTCCTTTTGATCCCCATTATTACGCTCCTATAAATATTAAAATTTACTTACAGCATAAAATGGTACTTTATTTAAAAATTCTTGAATCGTTGAATCATCTGATTGTATGCCCAATAACTTTACATATTTTCCATCAAGTATGTAGTCTGCAATTTTGTTTAAACTACCATTTTTTACTAAAACCTTAGCTGAAGAGTTCCTTTCCTGATTTAACAATGAAATTTTAATTTGAAAAATCTTAAAATTGCTTTTCCAAATTTGTTACATTAATTATTAATTAAAAAGCCTTTCTTTTATTCAATATCAGTTTTACGCTAATATCTGAATATTATTTAATAAATTATCAAATCATTTTTATTAACTATAAGTGGAGAATCAGTATTTAAAAAAGCATAACATATATGCATTAAGCCCAGGGATACCTTCAGACGTCGCCTAGAATCACTTGACCGACTTCTTATTGATTGCGCAATTGATTATAACTATGATAATTTTTTTTTAAGAATTTCTAAAAAATCATAAGTATCTACTTATTTTTAACATTATTTTCTGTAAAAATTCAAACTGGATTGACGAGAGAAATTAAAAAGATTTTCATTTTTAATTTAAAAAATTACTCCAGGCCTTATAAAAATATTTACACTTAACCTCGCGATTTTCAATACTTACACCATAAATAAAATATAAATTCTGACTACTCCAAAAATAGTGCTTATAACAACTTAAAAACAAACAGTTTTATTTTTTTAAAAACAAACTAAATATAACTTTTCTGACCGAAATTTTATTTTCAGAAGCGTCAAACATATCATTGTGAACTACATTAGCATTAGCATTAACATTATTGTTTGTGTCTTTCTGATCATCAGATTTATTAATTAGACCATCATTTGACAAATTATCGTCCAATGAACTACAAATTTCATACTGTTCAGAAGCTTTTAATTTAAAATTTTTTGGCTTTACAACTGAATCGTTAACTTCGTTATTAATTTCCGACTTCATTTGTATTAGCGTTGATAAAATGTTATTACTATCATCGTGAATATCTAAAATGTTAGTTTTTCTGCTTTTGAAATTGCTAAATTCATTTAAATTTGATTTGCTTATATCGCTAGTAGATCGAATTTCAAATTTCGTCTGCTAAAAAAAGTTTTAAAATCAACTTCATAACTTCTAATGCGATTAAATGACATTTTAATCAATATTTAAATAAATACTTTTCGTTTTTCTCTTTGATTAATATTGTATAAAACACTCCAGTCCCAAGATGCCGGAAATTCAGAAGATATTCTAGGAGCTTTAGGTAGTATAGAAAATATATTGTCTGGAATATGGTTTGTCTTTGAACTGTAATTCTTTGGAATGTTTCCTTGCTAGAATGTTGATATCAATAAATTAAATTTTACGTTATTTGCAAATATTAAAAACATTACAAAGTTTTTATACAATATAAAATATAAAACTTTTACCTGAAATTTAAAATTAATTTATTATAACACGAACAAAAAGAAAACTTATACAAGTTATATAATAAAAAACATAAATGGACCGCAAATACTATAATCAGTTACTGTCTTTGCAAATAATTTCTTACATAAATTATGTATTAAATTATCTTCAACAAACCATTTTTAATGAAAAAAAGTTTTTGTGTAAAACTTAAAAACCCTCAAAATGACTAACAAAAAAAATTGCTTAGGAAACTAATTTGATAATTTTGAAAAAAAACTAAATTTTCTATAAAGTTCTAATAATAAGTAATAAATATATTTTCATAAATTTTTTGAACTCTATTTCATGGTCGTTTAATTAGTTATGAATTAACGAGTTATAAAAAATTTGCTTCAATTATCATGTAATCTTTAAAAAAATTATCATTCTTAATTATATAACACACATTATGTGTTTCAAATTTATTAGTTTATTATTTTGTTTAGAATAAATAAGTTGTTTAAGCTACGACCTTAAATGTACCATCAACAAACAATTAACACACCTGTTGAATTTATACTTTTTAAATGACAAAAAGTAATCGATACTTGCATCCATCCATACTCAAGTATATGGGTATAAATGTTTTAAACTAGAGTTCAGAAAATAACCGTTATTTTCATTTTAAACAAATCAATAATTTTTTTACTGATTTTTATGTATTTTTTGTTTGTATTAAAAAAATTTCATCATTCATAATACAATTAAATAAAAATAATCTTTTTTATTTTTTAATTTAAAAATAGTTGATTTTGTAAAATTTTATGATACGTTTATAAAAATTTACCATGCAAAAAATCAAGAAAGCAATTGCCCCTATGTTACACTCTCCCCTCTGGAAGCTTAAACTGCGAACTGTTAAAACTAATGACAATTAAAACGTAAATAATTTAGAATTTATGGCATTTATAAGATGCATTTTTAATAATGGAATATAAAATACATAGATTATAGCAGTTTACTTTAAGTTTTTATTCCTCTGGTTATCAAAAACTATAAAATACAAACCTTATCAATTAAATTTTCATTAGCTCCTGCCTTTAAAAGTCTATTGTATAACACTATAAAGTCTTTAGGTGGAGCACAGTAGACATAATGTAAGGGAGTACGACCTTCATTATCTTTTATATTAACAGCTTTTGAGTGTTTGTATAAAATATATTCAACTATGTCAATTCGACCCAATGCAATAGCCTGCAAAATATTTTGAAGTTATTATAATCTTAAAAAGAAAATATATGGAATTTTTCAACCTTATGTAATGGTGTTAAACCATTTTTATCTTTACTTGCTAATAATTCTTTTGGAACCGGATCACGGCTCAATTTTTTCAATAAAACTATATCATTGTCGATCACAGCCTTATGAGTTTCTTTGATGATGCCCTATAAAAAACAATTAAGGATAATTTGAATTAAAAAACAATAAATAACACATATATACTGATATTTATACCAAAATATAAGGAACAGCTTTTAAGAATTTATTAACCGCAGATTGTTGGCTTGTTTCTGTTAATAATTTATCACCGAAACCACTCCATATTACTCTTGAAAGTTGTTGTATGTTACGTTCATGAATCCAAATTCTAATGTTTGACGGTTTTATAGGAGTTTCTGTAAAACACAAATATAATAATTTAAAAAAAAAATACATTTAGTAAAATTACTAATCATGTCTACTAAAAAAGATCGATGCAAGTATAAAATAAACTAAAATCTCTAATTGGGATTTTTCTATATTTTAATCATTATTTTTTATCTACTACCAATAAATCAACTGAATCAACTCAGTTAAAAATATTTTATTTCAAACATGAGTTATTTTTTCTCTTTCTATCATAAATTTAAAAGACCAATACCTTCTCAGCTTCGCATCGAAGCTAAAATGACATTTTTATTTATTTTGGGAAAATATTCCATGAAATAATTAAAATTATATCTAAGAAATTCCTAAGGTTTATATTTACAAAAAATTATTTTGATTTGTTCATTTTTGAAATATATATGGCAGTTTTAAGAAAAAAAAAATGTTAAAATTTATTCATTTGGAGATTTCCTCCATTTACGGGGAACAATGGAAATCTTTTTAATTTTTATGTCAATGTCTTCAACTAGATACGATTTGTGATCTTTTGACATATCGTTGAGAAAAATCAGTTCAGTGAAAGCTAAGAAAAAGTAGTCACAGACACAAAAAAAAAAAAATTAATAAACAAATCATGTAAAATTAATATCTTCTCAACTTCGTATCGAAGCTTAAATTATAACGATCGCATTAAAAAAAAAAAAAGCAAAATTGGGCCCTTATTTTAATAAGTGTTTCATTTGTTTAGATTTTACTTTTATATTTACTTATTTATAAATTAAACTTGACGAGTAACTTGTGCTGGAAATAGTTGAGTACCCTTAGTCTTATTACTCTTTTGGGTTACGGACGACAGTTGTGAACATACCCCTTGGTAGTTTTAAAGGAGTAAAAGGGCTTTCTTGAATCAGTTAGGATTCAAAAGTTTTGTTTATTGTTACGGATACAATAAAATTGCATCTTCAATTAACATTGATACAACACTTCGCATTAATATAAAATGTTTAAATGTTTAAATGTTGTAATTTTTTTTTTTTTTTTTGTATAAATTTTATGCTTGAAAATGCCCAAATCAAAACTTTAACCTATGACAATCCAGAAAAAAATTTAAAGTAATCCAAAATTGATTTTACTCGATTTCGTTTTTTTTTATTATTATTCATTAATCAACCTAATAGAAAAATGTTGATATAACCCAACTTAACTCAATTTTGACTTGGGCACGGATAGCCAAAAACTCGCAAAGCCTTTATTACGTTTTATGTAATAAATATGAATTTATTTTAATGATAAACATTTTTAAAACAAGATTGCATAACAATAGAACATTTTTGATTCATAAGTAGATTGTAAAACAACAAATGTTAAAATTATACACAATATTATTTTTAAAAAATCATTATTTATTAATAATTGTCTTTACCATTATCTGAACATCCGGTTTTCGAAGTGTTAGACCAATTGATGCTTTCTTTACATTCTAAATAGTAAAGAGGAGTTTTATTATTTATATCCAAAGAATTAGGATCTGCGCCTGCTTCTAACATTAAATCCCAGATGCGATGTACTTCAGAACATGAGCATATGTAATGCAAAGGAATTCTATTAGTCTACAAAAAGTACAATTTTTTTTACTTAGTTATTTAAATAATAACATTAAGGCGCATTAGAACATTATTCACAGGGTGTATAAAAATATAACGATTCAAAAAAATGTTCTACTGAATAATAGCATAGATAAAAGTAAAATTAAGGATGGGAGTACCCAAAGTTTCTTTTATAGCGATACCATAACATTAAATTATTTATTGTATTTACCAAAAATAAAAATGTAATCCTTACTCTTATCTGTTTATTTTACACATTTAATAATAAATTAATATTAACGTTATCTTCTAATGTAACATAAAATACAAAGAAAATCGATTTATTTTAATATTACAACTTTGTTGAATTGAAAAATAAAAAGTACACCATTATTATATTATTGAGAATCACATAATTAGTCAAAAATAAAAGTAAAATTAAGAATTTTTTGAGTTGTTTTTTATTTAATAAAAAAAACCAAAAAAGAAAAATTGTGAATTGTACATGTATTTCGTTTTATCAGTCATAAAGTATTTTTCATGATCATTTCTGATGTCTTATAATGATATTAACTGTGTTTTTGTAAATTGGAACATACATAAATAATTAACTTCTTGATTACATAATGATATAATTAAGATAATGACTGGTTAGTAACAACTTTTGAACCAATATTTCAAAAGTTATTAACATTTATATACATTGGTGAGAGGAGTAATATCTAGTTATTAATAAAGAATACCTCTAATTATTAATTCAAATTGTTGATTTTCCGAAATAAAAGTTCAAAAGTTGTTATCAATCTGTCATATTCTTTGTAAGATCATAATCTATGCATTTTCTCATTTAATAATATACAATTACTACACTTGTAAGACATTAGGAATGAACATAAAATATACATCACAATTAATAAATTAGCAAAAATGTATAAATAAAAGAAATAAAAAAAAAATTCTAAACTTCATTTTTATTAATATAGTTTACGATAACAGGATAATCCAATGTCATTGGGATACAATATAGTGGAGTATCTAGTATAATTCTCTTTAGTATAGATTAAAATTTGCTTTTGGTTAACACCACATTCATAAAACGTATCAATACAATTATTTTTACGAAAAAAATTGAAAATATTTAAAAAAATGTTCATAATTCTTACAAATTTTGGAATGCTTTTTTCACACATACTTTAAATAAATAATCTCCAATTTAATATAGATTAAAAGAATGCAAACATTCCAGAATATTTTTAAATTTTGAAATGAAAAAAAAAATAGTATACAAAGATAGTCCGTTTAAACACTTTGTGTACTAAAGTTTTTAATTAGATTTTCAAAATAAAAACGTAAAAAAAGATTTTGTCATCAAAATTATCAATGAAAATGTGATATAGATTCGTATGTTAAAAAATACGATAGCAATTTAAAAAAACAGAAAATATTCTGAATTTGCCATTTTATATGTCTGACTAGATAGAACTAGAGTTCCATTGTTATATAAATCAGTAAAATCGGTTTTGTGAGAGCTCAGAATTTTTATAGATATAAAAATCACATGTGGTGAAAACAATACCTTCTCAGTTTTGTATTGAAGATAAAATTATATTTACAAAAATTAAGATATAAAAAAAGAAATTATAAAATTTTTGCAACTTATTCTGTAATATAAACATAAACAAACATAAACTATTGAAATTAAAATTAAAAAAATTAATAATTAATCCTGTTTTTTTAATAATTATTATTCTAACTCTTTAGTTTCATTTCTATGAAACAACGCAACCCAAAGTTTTTTTTATGAAATTCACAATTCAAAATATTTTTTTTTTAATTTTACAAAAAAATTAATGAGGTTTAAATTTTAATAATTTGAAAGTATACAATTTTTAAGCCACATTGTTTTAATCACTTGTTATCAAATGGGGTTAAATAGAATTTTATCATCCCAGTATCATAATATAATATCGCTTTCTTCTCTGTCACCGCTGATGATATTAATAATTAACTGTTCTATTATATCTACTAAATTTTAAGTTAAAATGGTAAATAGTACTTTATCTTTCACGTGAACAGTTTGTGGATAATCTTTCACAAGCCATTCGACAATGTCAGGAAAATCATAATAAACGGCTTTATGTAATACACTAACTCCATTTAAATCTTTGCTACATGCTAATTTCGTAGAAGATATTTTATAAGAATTCTTGAACGAGTTTTCATTATTTAACAATACTTGCATATCTCTTAGATTTCCTTTACAACCACTTTCTTGTAACATATCAATACGTGCCTAGAATATCATAATTTAAAATAAAAATTACTTTTTGTTAATACATAGAACGCATTATAATGTTATTATTTTTGTGTGGATGATTTTAAACCCCTAGTCCAATAGGATAATAGCACACATTTTTAAATTAATCTAAAATAATAAATAAAATTTGATATTATAAGTATTTTGCATCATTTATTTATTTATTTTTTTTTTAGTGCTTTTATCGGCTCATTTAAGGGCCATAGCGGCCTCTCCCAAAGGAGGAGGTTTTCTTAACCATTTACACTCCGGGACAGGTGGTTAGTCCGTCACCGGAGAGAGGGAGATAATTCATTTATACAATTTTATTTTTAATTTAATTTAATTAATTTTTTTTAAACTATTTAATTTGTCGAATATAAATAACACAAATTATAAAAAAAGAATTCAATTAATATTTTTTTTACGTCTTTACAGTATTTGAAGAGTAATTGCAACCTACTCAAAAAAGGAGGATTTTAATGTTACATACTCCGGGATGGATGGTTCATAAAATTACTTATAAAACAAAGTATAGAAGGTGTAAAAATAACACACTGCTAATATTTGTAATTGTTACGTATTAAATAAACATACTAGATTAAATTATTTTTTTATACAGCTATTATTTTATTATTTTAAGGGTATTATTACACATAAGGGGTTAAACTTGAGTCGTTTTTTACTACCCTTTCCAAAATATGTCTTTTTTATACAATTCTTTTTCATTGGAGTTCAATTCTCCGTATTTCACTGGGAATAAATATAAGTACATAACAATAAAACTAATTATATGCGCGTCAAATGAGAAAGATATGTCCACTCAACAAATTGATATTAAAAAAAAGGGTTCTCTTATAACAAAAAGTTATAAGAAACGTACAAAAAAGTAGTACTAAGTCTTGCAATTTTCAAAGGGGTAAAATGCGGGATAATTTTTGGAAAATATATCTTTCTAATATGATATATTGCGGTACGTACGGCTGAGATTCTCTATAAATACGGTTAAATATTTTATAATATTTATAAAAATTTGGAATGTTATAGAATAGTGGCGACTTAGTGGATGCTGGTGGTGGGTTTTCGAAAAAAAATTATAGTATAAAACATTATACTATAATTAAACATAGATGTTCCCTTTTAAAAAAATTAAAATTTAGGTTTTCATCCTTTAAGGAATGAAAATAAATTATTTATCTTCATATTATTGTAGTTTTTTAAATCAAACAACTTTTTTTTTCCAAAAATTAAAAAATTTTAATGTATTTCAAGAAAATTAGTGTTACATCATTAATATATATTTTTTTTAAAAACTCAGCACAGGGGGGTCGCGGCACAGTTGTGACGTGATATAGTTGGATCAAGTATAATGATATCTGACAGTGATTAAAATCACTATCAAAAATAAACGCTTCGATGCAAATCTTTAGATAGTGTTTAATTTTAAAAAAATTGGTGTTTTATTCCAAACGCTACTTGATCTGCTGGTTCCTTATTAATATCTCGATTAAGATAAAGTATGTCGAATGAAAAATAGTTTATTAAAAAATATTATTTCTCATAAAAAAATTGTGTGGATCCATAAACTTTTCAATAAGTTATAGCATTATAAAGTTAAATATAATATAAATAATAAAATCGAGAATTTTCACACGAAAATAGCATTCGGTAGCCATTTTCGCCGTGAAGACAAGTCCAGAGGTCAAATTTTTTTTTTTCAAATTAAAGTATATTACATTAGCTTTAATTTAAGATATATATAAAAGTGTCAGACCTTCCGGAACATTTTCAAAAGTTATGTTGAAAAAGTAAATTTTTTGTGAAAAAGTTGTCATTTTAAATCCCCCCCTGTGGGCAGGTTAAGTGTCAGATTTACAAAAAAAATATACCAAATGATAAGTAAAGACATCAAGCATCTATATAAAAAAAAATTATATTGATATGTTCATTTTTGAAAAAGTTAGAGCATTATTAAGTTAAAAATATAAAAAAAAATTATTTTACAAAAATCGTAATTTTTTATTAACTTTGATGTCAACTTTCACCACGAAGACAAGTCCAGAGGTCAAATTTTTTTTTTTCAAATTAAAGTATATTACATTAGCTTTAATTTAAGATATATATAAAAGTGTCAGACCTTCCGGAACATTTTCAAAAGTTAAGTTGAAAAAGTTAATTTTTTGTGAAAAAGTTGTCATTTTAAATCCCCCCCTGTGGGCAGATAAAGGGTCAAATTTACAAAAAAAATATATCAAATGATAGGTAAAGACATCAAGCATCTATATAAAAAAAAATTATATTGATATGTTCATTTTTGAAAAAGTTACGGCAGTTTTTAGTAAAAAAAATTGAAAAAATTTCGAAAATTAGCGATTTTTAAATTTGTAATTTTTTTGGAGGTTTCCCCCATTTACGGGGAACGAGGGAAATTTTTTCAATTTTGAAGGGTAATGTCTTCGACTAGATACGATTTGTGATCTTTTGACGTATCGTTGAAAGAAATCTGTTCGGTGAGAACTGAGAAAAAGTGGTAACAGACACAAAAAAAAAAATACATCATAGTAAAACCAATACCTTGTCAGCTTCGCATCGAAGCTAAAATGATCAGTTTTTCATTCTTTTATTTTTAACATGCTACAGAGAGTGGTGGCCCCCTCTTTCACGTGACAAGGAGTCAAAAATGGTTCTTAGCTAAACCATTGATGAACGGGACGGGTATTGTGGTAAAATCACAAGAAAAATCTTGTTGACACTCTGAGGATCAAACCTGGACCTCTTGTACCGAAACATACTATTCTACCAACTAGACCAGGCCAACCCCTGTCTGGGTATATACCCAGATTACATATTCAATAATTAGATAAATATAATATTTTTATAATACCATGTATATTGGGACAGACTGTAGAAATATTTTAACTTTTGGGTTTGTTGAATAGAGCCCGATGAGTTTATATCCTTCTCCATTCAGTAGTTTTTCTTCTAGCTTCTCAATATTGCCATCTTTGATTAATTTTTTTATTTCTTGGTGGTTCATTGGTAATGCTGAAAATAAATTTTTACTTGTTTGAATTACTTTTCAACCGTACAATGTTACATATTTGTTTATACTACCTCTAGGTAAGTTACAATTAACGTAACACATATTAGGCCCAAAGCCAAATTTATTGCCTTTCGGCACATTTTTACTATCCTGAATGTGAGCACGTTGCATTTATACCTCATGGCAAGTGTATGTGAATTAGTTGATTATAAAAATGACACAATATAATTGTCTTTGTTTTTATAAATACAATTTACTATGCGAGATAGATAGGTGTGACAGTTATGACATTATTGACGTATAATAATATCAAATCTTGACTACAATAGCAAGACATAACGGCGATGACCCCAGTCGTCGATCGTTGCTAACAACACAATATTGTTAGGTCCGAAAGGGTGGTTAACCCATAAGACTAACTATTCATAAATAAAATAAAAATTGAGACATCCAGTGACAAAAAAATGCACTTTCACGACCAGATACAATATCTATTAAGTATATGATGAAACTAATAAGTTGCTTTTAGTACTAATAGTGAAATTTTAACAGCAAAAAAAAGAATAAATCCTGTAAAAGTTATATATTATATAATAACATAATATTTTGATAATATCAGTTTGAACTGAACACATATATGTTTGGTTAAAACAGAAGAAAAATATTTCTATAGTAATAAAAGTAATGAGTAAGTTTAGAAGTTATATGGATTAATAAATATTATTTAAGCCCCTTTGAGAGTTCCTAAGTTTGTGCAGTTTTGTCATAAGACTATAATAGCATACAAAAATTTTTCTTTATAGAAGGAAATAGAAATTTTCAACAAGTCAATTAATAAAAAAAATTATTGAGTGATGGTGTGTTATTAATTAATTCAAATACTCATTGAAATTAAATTATAAGAAATGCATATTTCTTATCCCTAGTTATAATTAACAACACATTTTGTTAATAAAAAAAATTAATTGGTTTACTTTCAAACCTAAAAACTAAAGTAATTAATTAAAAAAATTAAGAAATGACTTTTATCAACTATAGTTTATAAAGTTTATATTGTTATGATTAACTCGATTACAAATTTCAACCATTTTTAGAAAAAATCTGCTTTATTAAAATAAACATTTTGAGAAATTTAAAAAAAAATCTTTTAATATAAAAATTTTGTATGAATATTTCAAAAAATCTAAATTAGCAATTTTTTTTACTTCTGACACCCCAGCCCGTTAAATATTGTTCATCTAACAAAACGTTGAATACTCAACAATGTACAAAAATAACTCAGGATATTAATTTTATAACCAATTCAGTATAATATAATGATAATTATTATCATAATTATTCTATAAATAATAGAATAATTATGCGTCAGTAAGCTAAAAGAAATTTTAAAAACTTTAATAATTATTTAGGAACATAAATGAGGATAATAGACCTTACAACTATAGTTATTATATCAATTATCTTTGCATATAACTTAATATAATTTATATATATATATATCTTTTATAAAAAATAATTCTTTTAAGCCTAGCTACTCGATCTCTCTTAAGATCTAATTAAGAAAATAATTGATCAATAACAACTTTCGATCTATCATTTTGGAAGTTATTAACATATTTATACCTTAACGAGGAGAAAAACGCGGCCAAGAATTTCTATTGATAAATATTGTTATACCTGTAACATACGCCCAGTCAATATTTTAAAACATTTATAACTTCCAAAAATATAAGTATATCAACCAGTCAATTTCTTAATCAGATCATTTTTTTATTTAATAAATTAGTTAAATATGTATATATTCGTTAAAAAAAATAAATTTAAGTATAAGGAATGAATCAAAAAATTAATTAACTGATAAATCAAATGTATATAAACCAAAAAAATACCAAAAATTATTTTACTAACATGATTATTATTTAAAGAATTAAAAAATGAGTAGCTATCATTAATAATGATAATTAATATTATCGTATAAATCACAAAATTGAATAGGGTCGGATCTAGGGAAGAAAGTGCATTTTTTAAATACTCTGCTTTAAAAATAGACTAATATGTATTAAAGTAAATTTGTATAATAATAAAAAAACGGTAGCACAGTGGAGTTTTGGTACAGTATAGACAGATAGAGTTTAATTTTAAGAAATTGGTGTATTATTCCAAAAGCAAATTTAACTCATATTTTTGGTTTTACTTCGACTTCTCAACTTCTAGACTTGAAGTAATTAACTTCAAAAGATAATTTGAAAAAATTGAATTTTGTAAAAAAGTTGCTATTTTGAATCAGCCTCTATGGACAGGTCAGATTATCATAAAATTTATATCAAATAAAAAAGAAATACGTAAGGTGTTTATATAAAAAATAATAATTTGATTCGTTTTAAGAACCAAAATAACATTGATTTTTTACACGAAAATTACATTTTTTCTCCAACTTTAACAGTCATTTGCACATAGAAGATAGGACGTGGGGACAAGTTTTTTTTATCTTATATTACATAATGTAATCTTTAATTTAACATATGTTTAAAGAACGCAGTATTTCCGGGACATTTTCCAAGTTAAGTTGAAAAAATTCTACTTTTTATACGTATGTTTCAAAATTTGAACACCCCCCGTATAAGAGGAAATTGTCCCACTTAAAAAAAGTATGTCGGATGAAAAGGATATATATATAATGTATTAAGAAACAAAAATTTGTATTGATCTATACATTTTTCAAAAAGTTATAGCAATTTAAAGTTGAAAATATAAAATCGAAAATTTGAACACAAAAATTGCATGTTTTTAACTACGGCAGTCATTTGCAAGTAGAAGATAAGTCGTGGGACAAATTTTTGTTTTTAATTTATAGTACGTAACATAAGCTTTAATTTGACAAATGTTTAAAGAACGCAGTATTTACGGAACATTTTCAAAAGTTAAGTTAAATTTGTTGAGTTTTGTTAAAAAGTTGCTAGTTTGAATTCCATCTTGTGAGCAGGTAAATGTCAAATTTTCAAAACTATTATATCAAATTAAAGGGAATTACTAAGGATTTCAATATAAAAAAAAGTTATGTTTATTTTTCATTTTTCATAAAATTATAGCAGTTTTAAGAAAAAAAAATGTATTTCCACCATTTACAGGGAACAAGGGAAAATTTTGTAATTTTCAAGAGCAATGTCTTGAACTAGATACGATTTGTGATATTTTGACGTATCGTTGAGAAGAATTCGGTCCAGTGAGAGCTGAGAAAAAGTGGTAACAGACACAAAAAAATAAAAAAATGAATACATCATATTAAAATTAATACCTTCTCAGCTTCACATCAAAGCTAAAATAAGTTTAAACGTATGTTTTAAGCATAAACTTGTAATATCCTTATAAATTACTTGCAATTCGTAAATGTTTATAGCAAATTTTACTTTAAAACTAAAAAAACTTATAATACTATATATTATTAATACTACTGTTACATCAAAAAAGATATACCGAACATCACAAGACTCGAATAAAATTTGAACTTTTAACTTAGTTAGGAATTCCCAAGTCGTTAAGTGATCAATTTTTTTTAGGTGAAATAAAATTACTACCAACTTAATAGTTGTGTTAAATATAAAAATGAAATGTATTTTATGAAATAATGTTGGTAACACTAGTCGGCTGATTCATCTAGTAAACGTAGTGATTCGGCAAATGGAAACAAAATCTTGAAAATAACATTACTACTTATTGTTTTATGACTTTCCACTTCAAGGCCTATAAACTTCCACTTTATGGCTTTTTGTACCTTTTTGTTTGATTTATAACTCATTTCCAAATTAGGATAAAATATTATCAGTGCCAAAGTGTTAGTGAGGAATTGAATTATTTGATGCTTTTAATTTTTGAATAATTTCAGTATCTTCGAGGTGAGTCAATTATTATAAGTTTGATAATTTATAGAAAGTAAAAGTTCTTAACTAAATTTTTATCTAAGTATTTATTAAAATTTTAAAAATACAGTAAAAAATAAAATGATGTCAACAAAAATTCATTTTTCTTTTAAATAAGTAATACCCATGATTTGGAATCAATACATTCTACAATTGAATGCATTAATAAGAATTCATTCATTATTAAATTAACGGATTCTTTCTTTTTTTTCCTCGCCTTTTGCCCAACTACTAATAAGAAATAAGAAATACACCCTCATATTAAACTTCCACTTAGCCCAATCTCCCACATCAGCTGTCCTCGTATCGTATTCAATAACATCCCTTTATCTCAATTTTAGTCTTCCTCTACCTATTCTTCCTTCAAAATTAATTTCTGTAACTGTTCTTACAGTTTCCGATTTCTCTTCTCATAACATGACTAAACCATCTAAGTCTATTTTCTCTCATCTTATCCTTGATTGACACTACACTTATACTCCCTCTTATATGTTCATTCCTTATTCTATATTCTGTAGTCACTCGATTCATCTATCTAAGCATATCTGCTCTACTTTCTTATCAACACTGAACCATACATCATAGCTGGTCTTACTACAGTCTTGTAGAACTTATCTTTCAGTCTCATTTGAATTCTTTTATCGCATAACATATCAGACGCTCCTCTCCATTTCAACTACCTATACTTAATCCTCTGTCTTTCAACCTTGTCCACCAATCTTTTGCACAACTACAAATCTGATCTTCTCATTTAATCTACTTTATATTCTCCTTTATCAAACTCGTACTGTATATACTCTTAATCATCCTTTTCCTTCAAAAGCTGATCTCCATGTTCTCCTATTTACACTATATCATCAGCAAAAGACATGCACCATGGTACTTCTCCTAATATGTTTAGTAAATTAATAAATTCATGAATACATTATATTTTTACAGTATACATTATGAATATGAATTTAATTGAACGCAATAACACATTTGTCAAATAGATAAAAATAGATTGTTTTCAATTTTTTTAAAAATTAATTATATATATATTAATTTTATTCTTCAAACAATAGACACAATATTTCATTTATCATTACCCATTCTATTCTTCCAAATTAAAAGTTGCACTAAGAATTTTTTAATAACATACATTTTATTCATCAATTATACATTTTTTTATTAGTATCAACATTACTTATAAATTGCAACTTACATTTCTAATAAGTTTTTGTAGTTTTTTTTTAATTCTCCTCCATACATTTTTTTTTTTAATCTAATTTGTAATTTTTCTAAAATTTAAGAGTAGCTAAGTCCCCTAATGTATTCTACTGTTTGTCTAACTCAATACTTATTTCATAAAAAAAAAATTAATAAATGATATCATAAACCTACTCTTTAAAAAAAAAATGAATTTCAAATGCAAATACATTTGATATATAGATGAATGCTCAAAACCCTGGCAATATTTAAGTGTATGATTTTATATTTCTTGTATAAGTATTATATTTTAATTTAGTAAAACAATTTGAATTGCTATAATAATAATAAAAATGTTTTCTTTAAAACTGGACTAATTGGGATTTAAATATGTTAATTAGAAATCACCCTTAATTTTTAAGTTGTTTAATTATTAAATATTATTTATATTTAAAAAATGACTATTGAAAATAACATTTTCTTAGTATTTTACTTGGTGGTTTTATTATAAGATGAATTATTTGAATTTCTAATTTAAGTCAAAAGGTTTAAATCATATTTACATTTTTTTTTTTTTTTAGATTTTTACTAAGTCTTCATTAATTTAAAAATTAATGTGATAATTTTCCTTAGTTCAATAATTATTAATCTACTGGATTTGTCTATAATCCATATAAAATAACTTAGAATAACATTTAAAGCTTAGAAAAATTATATAAATTTTAAATTTAGTAAATATTTTTTTTTTAACTTATAATTATTTATGAATAAAAATATTAATAATCGTATAATGAATATTCTAAAAATATATGAGACACCACAAGCTGAAAATATCAAAGTAAAAAAAAATTAATTCCAAGATAATTGAATGTAAAATTAGAAAAATGTTATCTTTTAAATACAGTTGGTTTAGTATATTGATGATAAAAAATACTATATTTTTAAAAAAATCCTCTGATCTTTATTCACATAAAAGAGTGGTTATTTTACTTAACAGATTTGCATTTATCTCATTTTGTCAACATATTACTTTGACCCCTTCAACTCTGAGTGCCTCTTATATACTATTCAATTCATTTTTTTATTCATAAGACATTTAATATGTGGACAGATAGATGTATTATTTTTTAGACATAAATTATATTTTTTGAACTTAATAATTTTAAAATATAATTTCTTAAATTTATTAATATAATTCTTTTAAATAAAATAAAAATAATTTTTTTACTTTCTAATATATTATACTTGTTGCCAAATATTGATATTATATGATTATTAAAATACAAGTTATAAAATAATATTAATGTTTCAAAAATAAGGTAAATTAGAGATGTATAAAATTGTATAAACTAGGTCAAATGATACTTAATAACATAGTTCTATTTTTAGATAGCTATTTTAATGCTCCCACTTATATTTCAGTATTACGATGAAATAACTTCTTTTTTGTTATTTTAGTTAATCTCTTTTCCAAGATGAGTGTGCAAGCTTTTGAAGATCTCATTCGGGGTCCCTTAACAACTTTTGTTCAACTATCCAAAAAAATTGGTGGTGATGTATCAGCTCAGGCTGACCTTGTACAAAGTGCTTTCCAGTAAGTTATAAAAAAAATTGTACCACAATAACCATTATTTGTAAATTATTCAATGTATAATTTTATAAACACATGGCCAAAAAAGGTCCCTACTTTATATAAGTTGGATTTAATATATGTAAATAAATATTTTGAACTATCAAATCAAAAAAAAAGATTTTAATTCTGTCATAATATTCTTTAAGAAAGTTTAAATGTACCTTTATTGCCGGATTTTTATTGTAGTCTTCTAGATATTCCTTTATTATCAAAATAATTCTATAAAATATGAATTTAGGGCAGAATTTCAATTTATCAAATATGCCAGTGAACATAGTACTCCAAGTAATGATGAAAAGCAAAAACTCCTACAGCCAACTAGTTCAAAAATTCAAGAAATTCAAACTTTAAGAGAGAGAAGTCGTGGCTCTCCTTACTTTAACCATTTAAGTGCAATCAGTGAAAGTATACCTGCATTAGGATGGGTAGCTGTGGTGTGATATTTTATTATTTTTTTTTTTTAATTAATAATAAAAAATTATTAACAGTTGAAACTCTTATTTCTAGGCACCTGCTCCTGCACCATATGTTAAAGAAAGCAATGATACTGGTCAATTTTACACTAACCGTGTGCTAAAAGATTGGAAAGAAAAGTAACTTATTTTGACTCGGTCTAAATTTGTATAATATATTATTTTAATACAATTTTTTAGAGATAAGACTCATGTTGAATGGGCTAAGACTTGGGTTCAACTTTTAACTGATTTACAAGCTTATGTGAAACAATATCATACTACAGGACTAGTTTGGAGTAAAACAGGATCAGGGCTAGCTGGTGGTCCTCCTCCTCCCCCTCCTGTCGGTTTACCACCAATGGATGATTTGTGTTTAGCACCCACTGATCCTAGTGAAACAAGCCGCTCAGCATTATTTGCAGAAATAAATCGTGGAGCTGATATTACTAAAGGTATCGAAAAAATAATATGTTATTAAACTGATAACTCATATAAAATATGAAATTTAGGTTTAAAAAAAGTATCTCCTGATATGCAAACTCATAAAAACCCTAATATGCGAATCAGTGGTCCAGCTCCTGCAGTAATTGGTAGTTCATCATCATCTACTACACCTAAACTAGTTGCAGAAAAACCTCCTGTTTTTGCTCGTGATGGAAAGAAATGGTTAATCGAAAATCAGAAAAATAATACTAACCTTGTAGTTGATGGTGCCGAGATGAACAATGTTGTATACATATTTAAATGTATTAACTCTACTATCACAGTGAAAAACAAAATAAACTCTATTGTTATGGATTCTTGTAAAAAATCTTCTATAGTGTTTGACTCTCTTGTGTCTTCAGCTGAATTCATTAATTGTCAATCAGTACAAATGCAAGTAATAAATAAAGTACCAACAATCACAGTCGATAAGTCAGATGGCTGTCAAATATACTTAAGTAAGGATTCATTAAGTGCTGAAATAGTAACGTCAAAGTCATCAGAAGTGAATGTTATGGTTCCTAAAGCAGATGGTGATTACTCTGAATATCCTATACCTGAACAATTTAAAACAACTATTGGACCCAAAGGTCTAAATACTATTATTGTTGAAGCTACTGGTTAACATACTATTTACTCAAATATTAAATACATATATATTGATTTATTTATTCAATTGATAAATCTTAAGAATTTAAATATTACTAAAATTTCAAGCTAAATATGTTTTCATTATTTTTAGACTAGCTTTATTTGATGCAGTTTTTTAAGTTATCAAACTATGTTTTAATAACATTTTTAATACATTTTAATTAAATGTTTAATATTTTATTATTAATTCTTGGTTGATTATTTTTATATCTATCTCAAAAAAATCTGCTCATAATAAATGTAGTAATATTTAAATATCATGTGTAGTTTTTATACCAAATTTTTTTTTACTAAAATGTATGTTTGGAAATTAATTTATTTCTTTAATATATTTTGATTATATTTGTGATTATTCATTAATAACATTTTTTTATCATTGGAATATTTTTAGTAATTATACTAAAAAAAGGTTTTACAGGAAACTTAAAATATTTATTTATTTATTTTTTAACATGAAATATATTAACATTTATTTAATTCTATTGTCAGTTATTTATTCTAAAAAAGTAATGTGATTTTATAAATTTGTATTGTAGTCAGTTTTGTAAATATATTAAATACTTTTACACCAAAACTAAATAGAATACAATTATATTATTATATTGTAATTTTTTTGGAGGTTTCCCCCATTTACGGGGAACGAGGGAATTTCTTTCAATTTTTAAGGGTAATGTCTTCGACTAGATACGATTTGTGATCTTTTGACGTATCGTTGAAAGAAATCGGTTCGGTGAGAGTGAGAAAAAGTGGTAACAAACACAAAAAAAAAAAAACACATCTTAGTAAAACCAATACCTTCTCAGCTTCGCATCGAAGCTAAAAATTGCTATAATATAATATTGAAAAAATAAAATTTCAACATATATTTTTTTTAATAGAGACAAACAAAAAAAACGGTGCACAGTGTGGACAAGGCTTAGTTGGGACATGTATAGATGATATGTGACGGTGATTAATATCACTATCATAAGAAACGCCTCGGTGCAAATCTATAGTGTTGAATTTTAAGATATTGGTGGATTATACCAAAAGCAAAATTAATTCCTATTACTTTTATTATTCCTGATTAGTAGTTTATTAATTTAGAAGTATAATATATTATTAAATAGCTATTAAAGTAATTAAATATAGTATGAAATTGATATTTAACAATTTAGTATTGTAATTTTTACGGAGAAATTATAAAATATTATAAAGTATATGTTACTTTTATAACAAATGTGTATAAATATTGAAGGCTTGATACAAAAATTTTCAGAATATAAATAATTTTCATAAGGGTCAAAAATATACTTTTATTATTCAATTTTGCGCGCTAATTTCAAATTAGAAATTAGATTTTTTTCTATTACCACTAATTTTTGATATTATTAATAAGTTAAAAATAAGTATTAACATATGAAAAAAAATATGGATTAAAATGAAATTCTATAACACAGCAATAAACGAAATCATAGGTGAAACTAGGCACGGAATATTTATGAATATCAGCATATTATAGAATACTACTACAGATATGATTATACTGAACATAGTTCTGAATATTTCAATTTTAGCATCTATTTAAACACTAAGAGTTACATAGATATGATTACTAGGACTTTTATTTAAATAGTTTATTATAATAAAAATAAAAATACATTTACTGTTAATAGTAATTATATAAATTCCTGATGGCATATCAACCTAAAAAATATAATTTTTTACTCCCCATAAAATTTTCTATTTAATGATATATATTTTAAACTTGCAAGTTGGGCTAAAATAGTGTTTAAATGTTCAAAATTTGTGAATTATAAACTTTTATAAAAATCAACTTTAAAGGATCAAAAAAATAAAATAAAATTGACATTTTGAATTGAAATTTTGCACGGATTATTTTTAAAAATTAATAATAATTTGATAAAAAAAATTTTTTAATAACATATTTTCACGTGTAAGTATTTGCTTTACAATTAATAATAATCTCAAAAATGAGGTAATAGAAAAAATTTAAATTCAGACTTGAAATCAAATTGAAAAATGTTACTTAGTAAAGTATATGATCATTCAAAAATATTTCATTTTAGTGATATAATTCAGCTGTATAATTCAATATAAAAACTAATTTTATACTCCTATTAATTTGAGATATTTAATATAAATGTTTTTTGAAGTGACCATTTTTTATAGTAGCATCATTTTAAGATATTTGTCTAAATTATTAGAATTCAATTTTTTTCCTTCGATATTTGATGTTTATAATTACAAAATGATTAAAATCGTGTTCTTTTGACGTATTGATCATTAAAATTGGTCAAGTGAGAGCTGAAAAAATTAAATGACAGACACAATAACCATATAATGAAATATTTTAATATGAATAAAAAATTCCTTCTCACAAGGGTAAACTACATTGATAGGGTTTTTGATATTCTTTTAATATTTTGATTAAATATTATTTATTATTATTCATTTTTAATTTTTTTTTCCACCTAAAAAAAAAAATTTTAAAAGAAATTGCAAAAAAAGTTATTTAGACTGGCGGAACTGTAAAATATACGATGCGGTCATTGTGATCTTCATGAATAAGTTGATAAAAATAATTATTTAAGCTCGTTTAAATATTCAAATTCGCTTTTTTAGCTTCGATGCGAAGCTGAGAAGGTATTAATTTTACTATGATCTGTTTTTTTTTTTTTTTTTTTTTTTT